CTTCAAAGTGATCTCCTTTGTTTGTAATCTTCCTTCCAAGGAAGTCAATTGTGTTGTTTGTTGTGCAGGTGCCTGTATGGCGAAGCAACATCTTGGCCTGTATCTCCTTGAAAATTCGAGCGACCTCATCAGGTTCTCCTGTAAAGAGAAGATCGTCAACATAGACCATGATGTAAACTTTGCCATTGGTGTAGACATTGGGCTCTGATTGTAGTCTTTTTAGACCGAGGTCTGTAAGCACTTTTGCTAAGTGCTCCTGCCATGCTTTCGGGCTGCTTCGTAGACCATACATTGCTTTGTGTAACCTCCAGAGGATGTTTGGATTGGTGTAGTACTCCTTTGGTGGTCTGAGTACCAGGCCTGCTGTTGCTGCGAGTGCGTGTAAGAAAGCGGTAGATATGTCACCTACCTGTACAATCCATCCTCTGGCCATGCTGAGTGCTAGGAGTATCCTTAGCACTGCAAAGAGTGGTGTACTGGCGTACACATCATCTTGGTCTTCGATGTGTTCGGTGTACCCTTTTGCTACGATCCTTGCTCGTACTTCATCTCCTTTGGATCTGTAGACCCATCTTGACTCGATGATGTTGTCGAGATCAAGTTCTTGTCTTTGTTGAGGTGTAAGCTTTGTAACATCTACCTCCTCATACGCTCCTTGTGTTCTCATGGATTCCATCTCCTTTTGCATTCCTTGCTTCAACTTCTCTGTATCGAATCCTTCGTTGTTGTAGATGTGAGGCTCGAGTAGCCTCTGTTCTGCTCGTACCTCCTGTGGGTCTTCGCTTGTTGCTGTTGTAATCTTCTTGCCGCTCTTCAATGCAACTGTAACTGCATTGATTCTCAATCTTGGTCTTGTACTGTCTCTCTCCTTCGTCTCTTCTGGTCTCGCTGGTGCTTGCTGTGTTGTACTTTGCTTTCTGCTCTTGCTTGCACTTCCTTCATGTACTTGGTCGTCCACTGATCTGGTTGGTGAACCTGTTGGCATTAGTGATGTTCCCAACCTCATTGCTGTAGAGTGTGTTGACGTTGATGCTGAAGCTGTGCTTTGCTGTTGTTCTTCGACTCTTTGTTTCTTTGTTGTCTCTGTTCTTGGTTTCTTTGCTTCTGTTTCTACTTCCTTTGTGTTGGTAGCATGCTTTGCTGCTGTTGTTGGTTGATTGCCTGTATTCGTTTCTTCGTGTGATGTTTGCCCTGCCTGGACTTGTTGCTCTGTTGATGCTGGTGTTGGTGGTAGTATGAAAGCTGGCTGGAATCCAATTGGTGGTGTAGGATTCCATGGTGTGCCAGTGATTGTGTCCATCAATTGGTCATCGTACCTGTTTGTACCTGCTAGTCGTCTGATTGTACGTGAGCGTACAATTCTGCCTGCAATGCCAATGAAGGACTCTCCAGTGGATGTACATTTGCCGAGCCAAATGCCTTTGTAGAACCTGGGTTCAAGCTTTGGTCGTTGTTTGATCGACTGTACCATGTACATCACAGTCTCTCCGAATTCACAGAGAGCTGCATTGTGTGTTCGTCCCCATCTTTTGTGGTAGCTGGTGTAGCCATCTGCTCTGATGAGGAATCTGTTGATCAGGTATGCTGAGTGTCGTACTGCCCAAGCCATGATTGGGTGTGTTGTCGGCAGTCTTGTGTTGTAGTTCTGCTGTACCTGTGTCCTGAGTGTCCTAATGTGGCCAGCAAGGGTACGGTGGAATCTTTCGATGCTGCCACTGCTTTGTGAGCTGTATGCTGGTGCAAAACGCACTGTCATGTTGCCTGTTGCTTTGGCTGTAGCTCTAAGGAGCGCCATCAGGTATTCTTCTTGGTCACTTTGTAGTATGCCTTCTGCTCTTCCACATTCAAGAATGAATGCTTGTAGACATGCCTGTGCATAGGCAAACTGTCCTTTCTTGTCCGTAAGCATTGTTGCCATTGCCATGCCGGTCTGTATGTCTATGGCTGTCAGGATTGGTACCGGCCATTTGTCTTCATAGGTCTTGATGTAGGTGAAATCAACTTGTATGACTGGCTGTTTCGATGTTTGCTGTTGGTGGCTTGTCTGTCTGCCGCGAGATTGTATGCACACAGGACACCAACTCCTGTATGGCATGTGTGTAAGGTTGTGCTGTTGTATCTCCTGCGGTGTAGGTTGTACCGGTTGCATCATTGCTTTCGCTTTGTTTGCGCTCTGTTTTTCATCTTCTTCTTCTGTTGGCATTTCTTCTCTGTATTCTCTTCTTTCTTCAAAGGTTGTAGATCCTGTCCATTCTTGTTGTCTTGTTGGTTGTGGTTCTGTAGTCCAATCGTCTTCGATTCTTCTCATGTTGTGCTCCTCTCGTATGTGTGTTGCTCTGTATGGGAGCAGTTTGTAGACATCTGGTCCATTGTCTTCAGGCGTCGGTGTGTAGAACTCTGTCCTTGGTCTCACATGTACTCTCTTCCAAAACCTTCCTTCTTTGATCCAGTAGTCTGTTGTACCATCCATCTGCATTGGTGTTGGTAGTGCATCTTCTTTCTCTTGCTGCTTGTACGTGTGTCTGTACTTCACTTCCTTTCCTTCATCCATTCGTTTCTTAACTTGTTGTTCCTTGTTTGTATCCTGTTTCTGTTGGCCTGTTGTTGTCTTGTCAGGAAGAATCCTGAACCATGCTTCTCCTTGCCATTGTGTACCTGTAACCTCTCTGTTTGCTTCCTGTTTAGTGAGTGACTTGAACTTGTCTTCAAGCACTGTCTGCGTACCGTTTTCCTTGTAGACAATTGTTTTCCTGTAGTCGTCCAGTCTGTCAAATTGTACTGGACATGCTGATTGGTTGCCGTATCCTGGTGTGAACAATGCCTTTCTTCCTCTCTTGTGTACCCTGACCAGGTATCCTTGTTCGTTGTACTTCCAGAAGTCGTTGTTGCCTCCTTGCTGAGGTCGTGGTCCTGTTGCTGTAAGTGTGTGTGTTGGGGCAATCATTGCCACTTGTCCTTGTGGAGTGTTTTGTATCACCAGTTTTGTTCCTTCTTCCAATGGTGCTGTTTCCAGGTGGACGTAGAGTAGTCTGTCTTTACTTGTAAGTGGTGCCTGAAACACATCTCCTTTCTGTAGTGTAGACTCTGTACCTCTGAGGTTGAGTTCGAAACCTTGTTCCAGGAGTCTTGTAACACTGACGATGGGGTGTCGTATGCCATCTATGACGTAGAATGGCATCACCAAGTGTTGTCCTTGTATGTTCTTGAAGCGCACCCATCTGTAGCCAAGAACCCAAAGGGGCTCATCTGTAACTGAGCGAAGTGGTGGTGTTTGTTCCTCTGTAAGAGGCATCAGTGGAAAGTCTGTACCAAAGGTTGGTGGACAGACATGTACTGCTGCGCCACTGTCGATCATGAGCTCGACAGTCTTGTAGGTGTTGAGGCCTGTGGTTGTGACTGAGGCAATTGTAGTTGTTCCAAACTCTACTGTGGAAACTACCTGCGCTGGTGCTGTAGGCATCTGTGGTGGCTGTTGTTCCTGGTTGTATGCCGCTTGCTGTTGCTGGTCATATTGCCACTGTTGGTGATCTGGGAACCATTGTTCCTCGTAGTGCCACTGTTCTTGTTCTGTCCATGGTTGTTGGTAGTATGACTGTTGTTGGTTGTACTGGTCTGTGCCTTCATCCATGTCTGTGACGTTGTAGACTGCCACTCTGCAGTCCCTTGCATAGTGGCCCTGTTGACCACATTTGTAACATGTTCCTTTTCCTTTGCCTTTGTTCATTGTTGTACTTTGCCATTGTGGTGGTCCTTTTCCTTTGCTCTTTCCTTTGTACTGCATTGCTCCCTTGAAGGGGTTGCCATGTCCAATCGGTGTTGGACCTTTGCCTTTGTATCCTTGTTGGCTGTATCCTGTGTATCCTTTTCCTTTGTTGTGCCATTGTGTCTTTCCTTTTCCTTTGTTGTACTTTCCTTTACCCTTGTTGTTGTACTTTCCTTTTCCTTTGTACGTAGCTCCAATGTCCATGGGCTGTGCATCATTTGTGCTGCTGTTCATTGCCTGTTGTTGTGCTTGCATCTTGGAGAACGCTGTTGATGCTCTGTGGTATTCGAGAATGAGTTCTCGAATGTCTGCATATCGTTGTATGGCTCCTGCTCGTAGTTGTAGGTATTGCTGTAGTGGTCCTTTGGTCTCATTGAGTAGTATTGCAATTTTGATGTTGTCAGGTATTGGTGCTTGGTTGTCTCTTTCGTATCTTGCTATTTCAAATTCCCATGTCGTAAAAGACTCCTCAAATTTGTTTTCGTTGAACTGTGGTTTCAAAAGCTTTGTAAGGTACCCGACACTGCGTGTACCAAGTGGAATTGAAAAGCGTCTGTGTAGTTGTCTCCATGTCTCGAGACCAACTGCTTGTAGTGTATGTTGTCTGCAAAGGACAGCTGCTTGTCCTTGACAAACGTTGATGAGTAGGTAGTGTAGGTCTTTGCTGAGTTGTATCCAAAGGTCTGCTTCTTCTCTGTTTCTTGCACCATCTGCTAGAAGCTCATCTGTAACTGGTTGATCAAATGTTTCTGCTATCTGTAGGAGCCTGGGGAATTGTGAATTCTGTAGCCCCAAGTAGGCCACAAACTTGTGTTTCCATTCTTCAAATGTTGCGTACTCTCCTGTAAAGTGTGGTGGTGGTAGTTTGTATCTGTGCATCGCATTGAGGTCTCCTCCAGTTGTAGCTGCTGCCATGTTTGTTGTTGTATGTTCTCACCTTAATGCTGTAGCTTTGTTGCCGATGTGTATTGGAGCTCACCCTGTCCTGTATCGTCCAGGGATCACTGCTCCGCTACCATGTTGAAATCAAGTGTACAACTTCCCTGTCTGTAATCTCAGCAGCTGTAGCCCACGCGCTGTACTTTTCACTAACTCAGGGTAACGCTCAAGGCTAACTCAAGGGCCCTGTATGGAGCCCAAATGTATCGTACCATGACATGTACTCAGAGTGGACCAACATGTTGTATCAGCAACTGTATAGCTCATGTACATGTGCAGGTGTATTCTTAACAATGATGATGATGATGATGATGATGATGTTTGGATTCCGATGATGGAATGGAGAATCATAGTCATAAGCCATTTTACCATGTAATTTGACCGGCACATATACGATTTTATGTTTTGGGTATGGTAAAACTCCCCAAAATCTACCCTTTTTCAGGCAGAATTGTGAGCAATTCACACCGATGTAGGGGAGGTGGGGACATTGCCACCCCAAAAGCCATGGACATGTTTGGGAGGTTGGACGTAGACTTGGAACCTCCAAACATGATGAATTCATTTGGGCCATGTCAGTCATATCTCAATCTCTCCCAGTTCTGAATGACTAAGCCTCTGACGCTACGAAGCAGCACCTCTCAACTCTCTCTGTGCAGGTGGAGACCGAAGGTATCCTCACTGCGGACATTATTCGACAGCACCTCAGGGTACCAGAACGGCAGGGACCATCAGTGACCACCTAGGTATGAGTTGAATCTAAAGCTGTCAATTGTTCATAGTTTCCAAGATGGGAAACAGACCCTGATGTTTTTTGTCCCACCGAAGCCACGATCCGCGTGGCTTCCATTTCAGGTCAGCAGCTGAAACAGCATGAGGAGGCAGCAGCCAAAGCCAAGTTGGCCGCCGGACAGAAAGAGGTGTGGCCTCCGGTGATTCAACATTGCTAGGAAAACCCTATGGAAAAATACACTAAGAATGGAAGAATCATCTACGAATGGAGCATTTGGTTGTGGTTGGCCGTGGCTCCCTCTTCCCTCTACCCGCTATAACCCCACATGTTATAGGGATTTATTACATAACTCGAGTTTGGGTGTGGTGATCAATCCCATTCATAATTTATACTTATAGGTGGTACAGTAGATGGTTCCTGAAATACCGAGACTGAGGGTGAACATGCGTCGCATGAACCCGAAGACTGGATGTTTTAAGTAACTTGTGAAGGTGTCGTGATTTGCACAGAGATATCAAGTGATTTCTTCGCAAAACTGGCTCTGAAAGATGGCAACTGCTCAAGGCTCCACCGCATTGCTGGAACAGACTTTAGGTCTGAAATGAGTGGGCTCTGCAGGTTAAAATTTTGTATTTTTTCTGGGGTGGTGTGGGACTCTTTGGAATGTTGTCTGGTGAGCAGAAACTCACCTGGCAAGTTGCCAAGTCTCCGAGCATCAAAGTCTGGCAGGTTGAGCAGAAAAAGACGGTGGCGAAGCCAACCAAGAAGAGAAAGGCGCTGTATTACAGCATTGAGAACTTTTCTTTGCGCACACAGTTTTTTTTAGATCCCAGTCTGTGGGAGTTTCACCTACAGCTGTTGGCCACGATTTCCCTAAAGTTGCTCCTAAACAGCAGGAGAAGACCAAGTTCAAGTTCTGAGCACGTGCGCACGTGCGTTGCTGGTTACACATGCCCAGTTCGTGCACTTACTCACCTATTTCAATTGTGTTGCAACTCTCCAAGACTCTCAGTGAAGTGTAATCTGAATGGAACACGGAACTGCCTTTCCTACAATTCGTACTATGCATGTGATGATCTATGCTTGGTGTTGACAACAGATCGCGACCCACATCCATCACATGTCAGTGGACCTCAGCAGGCTATGGGCTATCGCGTGAAAAGAGTTCCGAGTTCGCTGCAGGTTTGAGGAAGGTTTCCTGAAGGCGTTGTTTTGCAAAGGATCCCATATCATTCTTGAGAGCTTTAGCAGCTGTAGTACAGAAAATTGGGATACAACACTACCCAACGGAGTGGACAGTTACATACTTGCCTGTGCCTTGAAAGAGCCACCGAGAAGGGGCATACAGGTTTCAGGGATTCATTACTTCATTCTTCATTCCTGCATCCATTCATCCATGCATGCATGCATTTATCCATCCATTTATCATTTTTTTTTGGCAGTATCTTGCGTATATTCTAGCAACTTTGGTATGGGTTTGCGTTCGAGTGTGGGTAAACGGTAAAACAATTGTTTCGAATACTGCAATTCAGGCTCGGACATATTTTATAACACAGGAGCGGACAAGATTCAGGCTTTGAAGCCAACCCAGAGATAGACCGGCCCGAGGAGTTTGACTATTTTCTCATGTTTGGCAGACCTGCGCGTTCTAAACAGGCAAGGGATGGCAACAAATCAGCACAAGATGACATCATCCTTCACGTCACCCCAAAGTGTTGGTCTTGTGCTGCTACGCGGCACCAGCGATTTTGATAGACCTGACAGATGTCGGTTGAATGGCTGGAACCTCGAAGTGCTTGATCTACTTCACAGATGATGACTTTACAAAACTCTTGGGATGGATCCAAACCGAGTTGACCATTTTTTGATCGGGGGATTACTGGCAACAGTATCCTCAGTTTCGTCGTTAGAGATGATCCCCACCTGAGGGATGCTTATTCTGTGAGTCATTTGTGACCGTCACATAGTGATACTGATGATAGCCATGATACCCTCAGTAGCCAGTGAATACCCGGGTATCTCCTTCAGTCAGAAGTAGGTTCCATAGTTCGGCACCTCCTTAAGTCCCTTCGTCCATCTCTGAGGGGCTCAAGATTGAAGAGCCGGAGATCCTTATATAACATCGTTCCCCGGAGGAATGGATTTTCCTGTGGGAATTTTTCGATGAAGATTATCTTACCATCTAAATGTGCTTGGGATAGATTATTTACACCAGCTCTGTTTTGAGAATATTTTTTAGATTATGACAATGACGATGACGATGACGATGAGGATGACGATGACGATGAGGATGATTATGATGATGATGATGACGATGACGACGATGATGATGATGACGACGACGACGATGACGACGATTATGTTTTTGTTTGGTTGGTGTCTGATTGTGCAACCGTTCATGTAAACACTGGTAAATATGCCGACGCATCGGGGAGATTTAATGGGATGATCGTGGCCGCAAGCAGCAGCGACTGAGGAAAGGGAGGTAATTTCAAAGGACAACTTCCACGAACAGGAAGACAAGGAGCTCCTCCGGGATGGCTAATGCATAACATGATGAAACATGCAGATATACTATGTATACTATGATATACTCAATGGACATAGCCATTTATGCGGCTAAATGCCCAATAAATTTGGGTGATTTTAACGATGAAGACAAATGGTAGACAGTGCCTTGGTGGTTGAACGGAACAAACCTCTAATCAGAAACTTCCCGCGAATCAGCAACAAAGAATCAGAAACTAAAACCCGCGAATCAGAAACTAAAATCCACGAATCAGAAACCAAATTCCCACGAATCAGAAACCAAAAACCCCGCAAATCAGAAAGTAACATACAGGAATCAGATACAAACCCCACGAATCAGAAACTGAGAATCAGAAACTAAAAATTGCGAATCAGACACCAAGATCCGCGAATCAGAAACCAAACAAGCCCACGAATCAGAAACGAAATCTGCCACCCCCTCTGAACATTTTGTTGAATGAGATATTACCGCCCACTTATCCTCATAAGAGATCAAACCCGCCACCCCCTCTGAACACAATGTTGAAAAGGATATTGCATTTATCTCTATTTTCCTCGTGAGGGATAAAATCCGCCACCCCCTCTGGCTATTATGTTGAATGATATATTACTCTCAATTCATCCTCATAAGCGACCAAATCTGCCACCCCCTCTGGCCATTATGTTAAATGAGATATTGCCTTCAACATATCCTCATACCGGACCAAATCCGCCACCCCCCCTTTATCACTGTGTTGAATGGGATATTACCTTCAACTTATCTCCATAAGACATCAAATCCGCCACCCCCTCTGGCCATTATGTTGAATGAGATATTACCTTCAACTTATCCACATATGGGATCAAATCCAGCACCCCCTCTGACCATTATGTTGAATGAGATATTACCTTCAACTTATCTCCATAAGACATCAAATCCAGCACCCCCTCTGACCATTATGTTGAATGAGATATTACCTTCAACTTATCCACATATGGGATCAAATCCAGCACCCCCTCTGACCCTTATGTTGAATGAGATATTACCTTCAAAGTATCCTCATAAGGGATCAAATCCGGCACCCCCTCTGACAATTATGTTGAACGAGATATTACCTTCAAAGTATCCTCATAAGGGACCAAATCCGGCACCCCCTCTGACCATTATGTTTAATGATATATTACCTTCAACTTCTTTTTGTAAGGTATCAACCCCCCCACCCCCTCTGAACACTTTGTGGAATGGGATATTGCCTTCAACTTGTCTTCATAAGAAATCAAATGCGCCACCCCCTCTGGCCACTATGTTGAATAGACTTGAATAGGGTATTACCTTCAACTTCTCTTTGTAAGGTATCAAAATCCGCCACCCGCCTTTGATCACTGTGTTGAATGGGATACTAGCTTTAGCTTATCTTCATAAGACATCAAATCCGCCACCCCCTCTGGCCATTATGCTGAATGGGATATTACCTTCAACTTATCTCCATAAGACATCAAATCCGGCACCCCCTCTGGCCATTATGTTGAATGAGATTACCTTCAAAGTATCCTCATAAGGGACCAAATCCAGCACCCCCTCTGACCATTATGTTGAATGAGATATTACCCTCAACTTATCCACATATGGGATCAATTCCTCCATCCCCTCTGGCCATTATTTCGAACAGGATATTACCTCCATCTTCTCTTTGCGATTGAAAGAGACAAGTTGCCCATTCTGATTGGTTCAGCTGGTTTAGTTTCCGATTCACCTGCTTTAGTTTCAATTCAGCTGTGGTTGCCAATTCCGGGGTTTTAGTTTCCGATTCTTTTGGTTTCCGATTAACAGGTTTTAGTTTCCGATTAACGGGTTTTGGTTTCCGATTCACGGATTTTTGTTTCCAAAAAGCGGGTTTTAGTTTCCGATTAATAGCTTGACCGTTTGAACGACCGCAATCCGGGGTTGAGATTCCCGCAAAGCTTGGAAAAGGTGCCGAAAAATATAGCCTGGAGGACAAGCACTTTGCCGGCTTGCAAGACGAAGTCACAGACAAGAAACTTCGGCAGGTCTGGAGTGATTTGAAACTTCGCTGCACTTGCACTCCAGTGAATACTCAAGCAATCCATGTTGAGACGTCTATTCGGGCATGCCCTGAAAATGGCTTAGGGGTGCCTTTGCATTGTTGGACAGCCCAAGTGTTGGTGGAGTTGGTGTCATGTTATGTCATGTTGTTGAAACACAGAATTGATTCTTGCTGGTCACCCTCAGCGGTTCGTTACTCGTGCGGCTTAAGGAGCGGCCTTTGGCTTGTCTACTTCTCAGCTCAGCAGATGGGGTTTCGATGCAGTTTCCCCACTTATTGCGATGGTACCCTTTTGCCCCAACAGCGTAAGCTAATGGGGTCTTCAGCCTAGAATAGCTCCGGTGTGCACCGGTGCAGGTGCCGGGTCAGGTTCAACAGGGTTCCCGAGAAGGTTCCGAAGGTTCCAGAGAAGGTTCCGAAAGGTTCCGGAGAAGGTTCCGCAAAAGGTTCCGGAGAAGGTCTGCAATGCTTTGGTGCAGAGCCAGGTCAGGTTCCACAGGGTTCCGGAGAAAGTTCCGGAGAAGGTTCCGGAGAAGGTGTGGGAGGCTTTCGTGCAGAGCCAGGTCAGGTTCAACAGGTCAGGGTCAACAGCGTTCCGGAGAAGGTTCCGGAGAAGGTTCCGGAGAAGGTCTGCAATGCTTTGGTGCAGAGCCAGGTCAGGTTCCACAGGGTTCCGGAGAAAGTTCCGGAGAAGGTTCCGGAGAAGGTGTGGGAGGCTTTCGTGCAGAGCCAGGTCAGGTTTAACCGGATTTGCGGCCATTTAGTTTTCTGAAACCCAGGTGAGGTGTTTCCAGCGCTTGGCTTCGCAGCAAGCTTCCGAAAGATTTATAAAATCAAAACCTTGCGGAGTTAGTTGGCGTAGCTGCATGGTCATCACACCGGAAAATCTTAGCCGGTTTAATCCATAATCATTATATGCGTATGTATATATGTTTTAATTGTATATATTGTACATATATAGAAAATTAGTCATCCTGATTGATGGTTCACCATCACTTGAGGTGCACAGCAAAATGGCCAAGTGGGAGGAGCCCTTTGACGAACGACGTTGGGGCCTCCTGCCCAGGCTCCAACATGTAGTGGTTGTGTTTTCTATCAGAAAATGTGTGTTTGAAATCTAGGTCACTAGATGTCACTAGGCGAACCCCCAAAAATATCACGCTGTTATTCGTCACATATTTCACACGTGATGGCGATTTCATGCGTACGCCCCCGATAATTCCGAAAAAAAAAGGTGCATAATCACCAGTTTTTGTCACTAGACAAGCGGACAAGAGTTCCAAAAAATGTGGGAACTGTTGGCAGCTTGTCGGATGTCTTGTTGCTGGAAACACGGACGGGAAAAAAACATTAGAGACCTTTAGAGGCGATGCAGCCTCCCATGAAGCCTTTATCGGGTGACTCGCTTGACAGGTCAAAAGAGTCTGGTGAGAGCGTGCTGGTCACTCGGCTTTCCACCTCGGCCTAGTATCCCATGCCCGCAAAAGCCAACAGATCCAGCACGTTGCGAGGCCAGGCACGACATCGGAGCTTACTGCTGCAAAGGCTGCAAGGATTCGGAGGACCTCACTCCGGGGCAAGACAACTTTAGCTGCTCACGCTTGGCAGGCGAGAACGGGGTACCGGGTAGGACAGTGCTTAGGTAGTAACTGGTTTCGTGGGAAATATGATATTTGATTTTGGCATCATGTTGTTGTTGTTGTTGTTGTTGTGGGTTGTGGGTTGTGGGTTGTGGGTTGTGGGTTGTGGGTTGTGGGTTGTTGGTTGTTGGTTGTTGGTTGTTGGTTGTTGGTTGTTGGTTGTTGGTTGTTGGTTGTTGGTTGTTGGTTGTTGGTTGTTGGTTGTTGTTGTTGGTTGTTGGTTGTTGGTTGTTGGTTGTTGGTTGTTGGTTGTTGGCTGTTGGTTGTTGGTTGTCGTTGTTGTTGGTTGTTGTTGGTTGCTGTTGGTTGTTGTTGGTTGTTGTTGGTTGTTGTTGGTTGTTGTGGTTGTGGTTGTGGTTGTTGTTGTTGTTGTTGTTGTTGTTGGTTGTTGTTGGTTGTTGGTTGTTGGTTGTTGGTTGTTGGTTGTTGGTTGTTGGTTGTTTGTTGTTGGTTGTTGGTTGTTTGTTGTTGTTGTTGGTGGTGGTGGTTGTTGTTGGTTGTTGTTGGTTGTTGTTGTTGGTTGTTGTTGTTGTTGGTTGGTTGGTTGTGGTTGTGGTTGTGGTTGTGGTTGTGGTTGTGGTTGTGGTTGTGGTTGTGGTTGTGGTTGTTGTGGTTGTTGTTGTTGTTGTGAATTCTGATATTCGTCGTCATCATTGTCATCACCATCACCATCACCATCACCATCACCATCATCATCATCATCATCATCACCATCATCATCATCATCATCATCATCATGATTGCAACAATCAGAACTTCAGTCATAACTATATCACCTTCAGGCTGATCTCCGGTTTCAGGTGGCTTTCGTCTGCACTGCATCGCTGATGGCCATGGTCCCGGTGGCCACTGGGTCTCAGATCGCGTGGTGCGGATCCTACCCTATTTTTTAAGTTCCAGGGACTGCCGGCGGCTGCTGTGCCGCGGCGAAGTGGCCACCGCCTTGAAATGCGCTTTCGAACGGATGCAGGTGGGGAAACGAAGTATAGGGGGATAGACGTTGGCCGAATTTTTGGGAACACAAGATCTCTTCAGGGCAATTTTTGGTGATCACTGGTGAAAAATCGCAAACCCAAATGGATAGATATGGAATGATATGGAGATTCAAAATTTGGGCTCCAAGTGATCCACAAAATGGATCAAAATGTGATTTCGAGCCAGTCAATGCTGAGCGCTTGAGGCAGATCTCATTTCAGCCTCAGAGGTGGATGGCATCAGTTTGCTTTATGCGGGCACCACTGCTATCTGCATCTTGCGGCAAATCCACAGCTCGGTGGTTTGGGTCGCCTGTGTGGGCGATTCTCGGGTCATTCATTTGTCCGGAGATGGACGAGTGACGTTTTCAACGACTGATCACAAACCCTCCGACCCCGTGGAGCGCGAACGTGTGCTGAAACATGGCTGCGAAATCACTGTGAGCGTAGCTGGAAATGGCGAGGAGTTGGAAAAGATCGTCCGAGACTCAGAGACTCAAGTTGAAAGAGACTCAAAGGTCTCGAGTGCAGAACTTTTGCCCCGTTTTTGAAAAGAATCTGAACCTGGACTCAGTACTACTCACTTCGGTCAGTTTAGATTAGACAGAACATTTCCCGCTTTGGGAATCCTCCTGTTCTGTCGTCCCAGTGCGTGGTGGGAGAAGTTGGACGTGCGCCGGAGTTGGGCTTCACCCGATCTCTGGGGGATCTTTGGCAGCTCGGCCGATGGATAGCCATGTGGCAGCCACACCATGACGCGTGGCCCCCGCTACAGCCGAGGTACAAGAGCTATGGCGTGACGGCTGAGCCGGATATTTTTAAGCTGGAGAAGGAGAGAAGTTGTGGTGGGCCATTGACTACCCGGGATTTTGATAGGGGTACAACTTTTATCAACTTCTTATCTCTGCCAAAGTATGCATAGTTTGTTGCTGGAATGCCATTGAGTAGAAGGGCCCCATAATTGTCGGCTGTGATGGTTGGGAACTTCACACTGATGAGTGATCCTGCCCTTGACACACATGCATATATGTATATATTATTACTAATGATAGTAGTAATAATAATAACAACAACAACTAACAATAATAATCATAACAATGATAATACTGACAACAATGATTATTATTGTTATAATAAATAATAGTAATTATTATCTGGTATATATACATATATGCACAAACCTTTACATATATATAGATATATGTGTGTATATATATACATATAGAGACTATCTATATCTACATATATATATAATGCATAAACACACACATATATATATATAATATATATACAGTATATATATATATATACATACGTACAGATAGACATGTATTTGAAACCTTCCCAGATTTTGGGTCCCAGATTTGACAGCTGCAGGAGTTGGGAGATGGTTCCGGGCACTTCCTGCTTGCCAGCGATGGTGTGTGGGAGTTCTTGAACAATGAAGATGTTTCCAAGATCGTCCATAGCTACTGGACAGCACCTCCTTATTTATACTATATATACTATATATATATATATTATACATGATTTGATGAATGTGACGGTGACTGTGACTGTGACTGCCTGACGGACACTGTGACTTTCGAAACACGAGGCTGCTTGCAGCAAGGGATGCCAAAGGAATTGATTGTGAAAGAGGTGGCAAAGGTGCGCCGCGCTTTCAGCTGACTGGTTCGATGGCTGCTCAATTAACTGCAGCATTGCCGTGTGGTAGGCTTAGGCTTGTCGGCACGTACTGATTTGACAGGTTGCCAAAGCAAAGTGGAAGGAGGGACCGTCATGTTGTGCGAGTGATGTTGCAGCATTTGATTCCCTCACAGAAACGCTGGAAAAGTGACTCCTGGGTCCCATGTGGCAAAGACAATTCGATCCTTGAACATGGTCTTCGGATGCGTCTGAAAAGGGTGTATACCCATCGAACCGCCATTTCAATGGGAAATACCGTGATTAGTCATCAACTTTGGTACCCTCTTTCAGACAAACCCATTTCAGGAAGAGGATGACTATTGTGATGATATTTCTCTCATCCTGGTGGCCAGCTCAGCTGATGCTCGTGATGTCAACAAAATGCGAGATCTAGCACCAGCCGCACGGGTTTACAGTTTGAGATATCAATCTCAACTTCAACTAACTTATACATACGTTACATACATTCATACATATATATATATAATAAATACCTACATACATACGTACATGCATGCATGCATACATGCATACATTCATTCATTCATTCATTCATTCATTCATTCATTCATGCATTCGTTCATGCATTCATACATTCATACGTAGATACGTAGATACGTAGGTACCTAGATACGTAGATACGTAGAAAAGTAGAAAGCGAGATACATAGATACATCGATAGATACATAGATAGATCCATAGATCCATAGATAGATCCATAGATCCATAGATCCATAGATACATAGATACATAGATCCATAGATCCATAGATCCATAGATACATAGATACATAGATGCATAGATACATAGATACATAGATCCATAGATACATAGATCCATAGATCCATAGATACTTACTTACAGACAGACAGACATACACACACACAGCATCACCACAGCTGAACTTCCCTTTTTTCCCCATCCCTGTTCGATTCCCAGGTGCCAACGGCACAGAAAACTAGCTCTCCTCCGGCACCTGATGACAGTTGCCTTGGAGGCTGCTTGAATGGATATCAGAAAACTGCGGATTGAAGCACCAAACAGAGCTGGTTGGTTTCAGGTTCGGACACCGTCCAAATTTTGGAATCAACCGATGTGGGTCCATTCAAAGGCTTGGGAGATAAAGATAATTTAGTTTGTCATTTTTTCCGTGAACATCTGATTTAGGGGCACGGCACTTTCTGTCCCATACTGGTTTGACATGTGCCGAGCCAAGTGACCAAGTGACTTTTGGAAAGCCAACGGTTGAGGCTTGATCTACTGTTCTGAGGAATGTAGAGGACGTTTGGACAAACTTTTTGGTTAGTGAAGCCCAAAGCTTTTGGCTTCGCAACCGATTCGCTGAAATCCTTCGGCGCGCGGCCGTGGTTTTCACCTCCTATCCCTCAGCAGCATGGGAAAATTCCACGAGAGGAGGATGGCGCAGGCAGAAAAATACTGGATGCCTCTTCTCTGGATGAGGTTGTAACATGTTGATATATTCATGCTCTCTAGCAGACTCTTGCATAGGAAGAACATTTCATGGTCGACTGCTTTGGGCTCCAGGATTCTGGACATTTCTGGACATATAAAAAGCAGCCTCAACTCAATTGAATGCCAAGTCTTCAAGAGCAGCCATTCGTCAGTCGCAAGCTTGAATGGCAGCCCATGCTTGCCCTGAACATGTCAAAGCCAGCTGCATTTTTCATGGGGTGTTTCTGATGCGATGAATGTCAACAGGACTCCAGCTTAGAAGATGGGAAATTTGAAGTCAGTTGGCCATCGAGTTTGGTAAAAGCATTCCATCCATATTTTGGTACCCGATGACTTAAGCCATACCCACGTGTTGAGAAGGGAATCTGGCAGCGTCAAGATCTGATTCTCAGAATGCCAGATGATGTCGAATCACCGGATGAGGCGAGCTCCTCCCATTCACCCGGGCCAATCTGCACATGGCTACGTTGATCCGATTTATATCTTGCTTGGTTTAATTCCCTCAAGTTTGTTGGTGACCCTCCAATAAAGCCATAGTAAATGACTGTAAGATAATCATAGATAATCTAAGATAGCTACGGAAATGCATGGGTTCTTTGTTCCGAATTGAGTGGAGATGATCTACAAATGGTGGATTTTCCATAAGCTGTCACGGCTGTCAGGCCTCTGCACTGAATCTGCACCACCTTCACGAGGCAGCTGGGAGGTGTTTGTTTCTGCTTCTCAAAGTTGGTGAGCCCCAAGAAGCTTTCCATTTTAAATATTCAATAAGAAATCTGTATTGAAACACCCTGGAACTTTTTTTTCAGCGACAACCAGGGTTTCCTGCATGCCACTTGGCTCAGCCATATATTTTCCGGTTGAGGGAAGCGATTTGGGGATTTGGGCAGCGACCCAGCCATGGCAACGGCAGCAGATCTGCACAATCAAATTGCCTTGGCCAAAAAGACTTTGGAAGAGAAGCTCGATGACTCGATGGAATGCGGCCATGGAACTTTTGTTTGTAAACTCTTTTTGGGATTGGCTTGATTGGCTTACCAGAAATGCCTATGGATCAAACACCCTGAATTTCACATCAAATAGTTCGCAAATGGACATTCATTCATCCTCATGCCCCCCAAACATGGAAAAAAAAATGGGTTTTGACCCACCCGCATATCCCAGTAGTTGACTTAGGTTTTTGCAGTACATCATGCATAGTTTTTGACCCATCCCCTGTCTACCAGTAGCCAAGCAGTTCCACATACATATATTGACACATCATTATATCCCTTATAAGCCCACTACAACCCCCTCTCGCTTGATCCATGTTTGGTCAAATCTTAAACCTGGAGGGAATACATCATCCATGAGTAGAAACTAAATTTGTTTCAATCGAAGGGCTTTGGGGTAGTTTACATGGACCTCAAAATCTCTAAGACGTAGGGGGACTGGCATAGGTACCTTAATCCTTCCCTGCAGCTCCTTTCACCATAGTTAGACAGGTTATCATTTATCATGTAGCAACCTCCAAAAAAGATAGAAACGTGTTTCTAGGATGGTATAGGTAATGTTTTTACCATATTTCTCAGGTTTCCAACCTTTATCTTCTTGGGGTTGTTATGTACGCACATATATATATACATAGGCTATAGGTAAACAAAAATATAGATACAGATATCCCTTTTCTATTCCCTTGGTCTATCCATCTACCCATCACCTCATCTGGCTCTCAGGAAGAAACAACATACGCAGCATCTCCGCGAGGAATCCACGCGTGCGGAGGAGAGACAGCGACTCCGTCGCCAGCTTGAGGAGGTGCAGAAGCACATCTCTCATCAGGACGGAAATTTCTTTCGGGAAGCTGAATGTTGGGGGTAATTAGACGATATGTATAGATATGTACATGATATGTATAGACATTGTAATGCTCATCCAATTACCAGGCTTTTTTGTGGTTTCAAATAGTGTTGATTTTCAGCCATATGTGGGATGATGATCACCAATGACGCACATATTTTTCAGGTTTGAAACCAACAATCAGCAGGGTATCATCTTGGCCTTGGGGACAGTTATCTCTATGGGGAGAAAATATGGAGCAATTGTATTAAAAGCTTCTGAATAACTTCTAAAGAAAACCAATATCATTTTTGGTTGAAGGAAATCATCTATGGCCATGGTGGATATTCCATTCTGTAGTTGGCTCTGTTGGCTGAACATGGTTGTATACCAACCTCCTAAAAGATACAAAACCAACATATGTTGCCATTAGTTTAGCTGATTTTCTTTTCTATCTTTTTTTAAAGGGTTGTTATTATTTATAATGATCTTAAACCTCTCTAATTCTTCAGATAGGACACGTCTACATAAATGGATAGAACTTGTCGATATTCCGTGGTCAACTGGCAATTTTGGGTACACGTATCGCACAAAATTGGATAGACTCACAGACAGTATCTTCTGTGGTCTTCAAGTAGACAGAACACGGAAACCAGTTCAAAGTTGTGGGAAACCCACTTGTAGATTTTTTTTTGGTTACGGCTGGACGTTTCGACCATTTTTGAGGAGTCCATCAACAGCGGTGAGCGCAACTACCGCCGCTTGCTGGATGCTGATGCCTTGGGCAACACGCCTTCGGATGGATCGAAGCCCTATGAACCGCCGCCCGCCCGTTTCAACCCGGGAAGCAACGGCGAACTGGTCCATTGCGCTGAAGTGGTGGCCAAAGGTGACTACGAGTGGCGCATTGATGGCATGAGTTGGTTGGTGAATGCCCTGCAGCAGAATGAATGCCCCAGCCTGGAGTCTTGTGCTTTCATTGTGGGTGGGGAGGAATTCACACTGCAGTACAACCCGAAATGTGGTGATGTGGGCGATCTTGGAGGGCAACGAGGCTCCCTCTGCCTGGTCCATCAGGATGAAGGTGGCATCACCTTCCGCTACAGGGCCTTGATCAAAAATGCCGCAGGCTCCTACGTCCAGTGGGGTCCCGAAGGCAATGAGTGCTACCCAGCAGAGAGCACCTGTGGTCGGGCCTTCGGGCCGGATGTCTACTTTGTGGAGGACATGGACGACTCGAACCACCAGGTGAGAGTGAGGGAAAGATTCAAAACAAGCGACCAGGGAGTTGTTTTTTACCAACTTAAAACCAGATCATGTGGGATTTATTGCTAGAGATGGCTAAAATTTCTGTTGCCCAGCTATGATGGGATAATATGGGATAATATGGGATAATATGGGATAATACCAATCATCCTCAAGATCCAAGATTCTCCTGTGGTGAATTTACCCAGGATTGGTGGTGAATCTTCTGTTTAGGGCTGAGATGACCATGGCAGGTGGGTATCTTCGGCATGACCCACGAGCAGCTCTTGAAGTCTGAATGGGTGGTGGATGGGGCATTGACCGCGAAGTTTGAACTGGAGGTACCTATCGGATGGGCAAGTCAAAGTGATACTTATGTGTGAGAAAATATATGTATGTATGTCAATGTATGTGATGTAATGTGATGTGATGTGATGTGATGTGATGTGATGTAATGTAATGTAGTGTAGTGTAATGTAATGTAATGTAATATAATGTAATGTAATGTATGAATGAATGTATGTATGTATGTCTGTCTGTCTGTATGTATGTATGTATGCAAGTATGCAAGTATGTATGTATGTATGCATGCAAGTATGTATGTATGTATGCATGCATGCATGCATGTACGTATGTATGTATGTATGTATGTATGTATGTAATGTATGTAATGTAATGTAATGTAATGTAATGTAATGTAATGTAATGTAATGTAATGTAATGTATGTATGTATGTAATGTATGTATGTATGTATGTTATGTATGTATGCATGCAAGTATGTATGTATGTATGCATGTATGTATGTATGTATGCATGCAAGTATGTATGTATGTATGCATGCATGCATGCATGTATGTATGTATGTATGCATGCAAGTATGTATGTATGTATGCATGCATGCATGTATGTATGTATGTATGTATGCAAGTATGTATGTATGTATGCATGCATGCATGCATGTATGTACGTATGAATGTATGTATGTATGTATGTATGAATGTATGTATGTATGAATGTATGTATGTATGTATGTATGTAGGTACGTACATACGTACGTACGGTATGTATGTATGTATGAATGTATGTATGTAGGTATGAATGTATGTATGTATGTATGAATGTATGTAATGTAATGTAATGTAATGTAATGCAATGCAATGCAATGCAATGCATGTATGTATGTATGTATGTAATGTATTAATGTATGTATGTATGTATGTATGTATGTAATGTATGTAATGTATGTAATGTATGTAATGTATGTAATGTATGTAATGTATGTAATGTATGTAATGTACGTAATGTATGTAATGTATGTAATGTATGTAATGTATGTAATGTATGTAATGTATGTAATGTATGTAATGTATGTAATGTATGTAATGTATGTAATGTATGTAATGTCTGTAATGTCTGTAATGTCTGTAATGTCTGTAATGTCTGTAATGTCTGTAATGTCTGTAATGTCTGTAATGTCTGTAATGTCTGTAATGTCTGTAATGTATGTAATGTATGGAATGTATGTAATGTATGTAATGTATGTAATGTGTGTAATGTATGTAATGTATGTATGTATGTATGTATGTATGTATGTATGTATGTATGTATGTATGTATGTATGTATGTATGTATGTATGTATGTATGTATGTATGTATGTATGTATGTATGTATGTATGTATGTATGTATGTATGTATATATATATATATATGTATGTATATTTGTATAAATGTATATGTATAGGTATATGTATATGTATATGTATATGTATATATATATTTTGCACAAGCGATATGCGTACATACTGTACCACACGTATTTCATTTCAAGGTTATATATATAGAGTATATGTATATATACATAATGTGAGAGAGAGAGAAGAGAACACGGTTTGAATTTATGCATATTTATATGTCTATCCGTCCGTCTATATTCCAGTTTTAATTTCAATTCCACTTCTACTTCTAATTCTGATTCCAATTATAGTTTTAATTCTACTAGTATGATGTTTGATACATATGTATATATATATATATTCGAAATAATAAATGATAACTACATATGATTTGGATAAGGTCCCTTCAACTTACCCTCCCGGATTTTTTCCTGAATGCGTAGCGAAGGGTTCTCGTTTTACTCTCGGGTCTGGGGGTTGAGACGTGTTCGCTCGACGCTGCTTTTTTGCCCGCAACCGTTTGGCAACCGCTTGCAACCGTCCGCGATGAGGACGCTTTGGCCATGCCTATGGCCGATGGGGAGTGCTGCAAAAGTGGTCACTCTTGGAGGTTTCAAATGTCGTGCAACCTCGTTTCGTGTGGCAGGCGTCAAGTGGTGACAACCTGTAAATCGCGTGGCAGGTGTGGGACCTCGTGAGATTGTTATTTTGCGTGGCAGGGGCAGTGTTTGGTGCAGATCCGTTGTGTGTGGAATGTCATTTTGCGTGGCAGGCGCAGTATTTGGGACATTACTTTACACTTTACATGCCCCACACTTTACATGCCCTACACTCTACACTCTACACTTTACACTCTACACTTTTGCCCCAGTTTTATCCTTTATTTGGTGTGGGAGTTGGAATGCATTTTTTGGCCTGGACTACGAGGGTCTTCTTTTCCTGCATGGTCACAGCATCGGTTGTACGACGCTGCTTTTGCCCTGGCAGGTACATGGCCTGTGTTCCTTTTCTTTTTCTCCCACTGTGTCCCATAGTGTTTTTTTTTTTCAGTCGCCAGATGAATGTGTTTGGCTGACATGTTTTGCCAATCATCATCCACGTTGATATGTCGATACTTTGGCTTCTACACTTCACACTTCCAACTTTGCACTTGCCACTCCCCACTCCCCACTCTACACTTTATACTGTGCACTCTACACTTCAAACTTTACACTTCACACTCTACACTCCACACTCCAAACTCCACATTTAACACTTAACACTCCACACTACACTTTACACTGTACACTCCAAGCTCTACACTCTTCACTGTACACCCTACACTTTACACTTGACCTCCCACACCCCACATTCCACTACACTTTACACTCCACACTCTTCACTTTACACTGTACACTGTACACTTTACACTCTGCACTCTACACTTTAACTTTACACTCCACACTTTACACTTTACACTTCACACTTTTGACTTGACACTCCACACTTCACACTTTGCACTCGACACTTTACACTCTACACTATACACTTTAAACTTTATACTTCACACTTTACACTACACACCCCACACTTTACGTTTTACACTTCGCACTTTACACTTTACACTCTAGACTTTGCCCCCCAAACTTTTCACTTTACACTGTACACTTGACACATGTCACTGCACACTCTCTACACTTTACTCTGGACACTGCGCAATCTACACTTTACACTCCACACTCTACACTTTACACGTCACCCCACACTCTACACTTTACACTCCACACTTGACTCTTTGCACTTGATACTCCACACTCTACACTGTACACTTAACACTTTACGCTCCATACACTACACTTTACACTTTACACATTACACTGTACACTCTACTCTTGAAACTTTACACTTCACACTCTACACTCTACACTTTACACTCCACACTACACTTTACACTCCACACTCTACATTTTACACTTTACACTCTACACTTTAAACTTTACACTTCACACTTTCCACTTCACACTTCACACACTACACCTTGCGCTTTACACTCCACACTTGACTCTTTGCACTTGATACTCCACACTCTACACTTTACACTTAACACTTTACGCTCCATACACTACACTTTTCACTTTACACTTTACACATTGCACTGTACACTCTACTCTTTAAACCTTACACTTCACACTCTACACTCTACACTTTACACTCCACACTCCACACTTTACACTCCACACTCCACATTTTACACTTTACACTCTACACTTTAAACTTTACACTTCACACTTTCCACTTCACTCTTCACACACTACACTTTGCACTTTACACTCCACACTTTACCACTTACCTCCCGCTTACACCTTACACTTAACACTTCACACTTTACACTTGACACTCCACACTCTGCACTTTACACTCGACACTCTACACTTGAAACTCCACACTCTACACTTTACACTTCGCACTTTACACTTGACACTCTACACTTTTCAATTTACACTCCAGGCTTTACCCCTTGCACTTTACACTGCACACTCCACACTCCACCTTGCACTTTACACTCCACACTACACTTTACACTGTACACTGTACACTTTACACTGTACACTTTACACTGTACACTTTACACTGTACACTTAGCACTTTACACCACACTTTTCACTCCACACTCTACAGTTTACACTTTCCACTCCACACTCTACACTTTACACTTTACATCCACACTGTACACTTTGCACTCGACACTTCACACTCCACAATCCCGACTTCATACCCTACACACTACATTCCCCACTCAACACTCCACTGTCTTTACACTCCACACTCCACCCCATTCCACACTCCACAGTCTATAGTCTATACTGGTACGGTAACAGGGGAAGAATGTACAAGACTGTATAAATTTCACAAAAGTGTTTTACGTGACTGCATTCGGGTTCGTTGGTTGCTCTTGTTTCTCCCTTTTTGGGTGACCTGTTTGACCTTGGCAGGTGCGCCCCAACGTGGAGCTGGACCCAATGCCCTTGAAACGGGCCTCCATTGAGGTGCCCCCATCCACCATTGCGGCCGAGTTCACGGCCATGCTTGAAGAGGGACGGGGCGCGGACGTGACCTTCTTGGTCCAGGGGGAACGGGTCCCGGCGCACTCTCAAATCCTTGCGGCCAGGTCGAGTGTTTTTGAACGGCAGTTGAATTCTGGCATGAAGGAATCCATTTCCAAAGAGATCATGGTGGAGGAGTGCGACCTCGAGACCTTCAAGGCTCTGCTGAAGTTTATCTACACAGATGATTTGCAGCGCATTGAGGAGCTGGCTAAGATGACAAAGGCGGATTGCGTAGGCAACAAACTACCTGCACCTTTCTTGCAAAAATTGCTGTCCGTCAGCCACCTCTACCAGGTGAGTCGATTGCGCATTTGGTGCGAGCACAAACTGTGCGAGTGCCTGACAGTTTGTGATGCCTTCTCTATCTTGTGTCAAGGACATTTGTATGAGGCTAAGCAGTTGGAACAGGCCTGCTTGGCCTTCATCAAGGACAACTTGGCTCAAGTGGTCAGCAGCTCTTCCTTTGGTCGCGGATGCAAGGAGTGGCCTGAAGTGGTCTTAAAGATCAATGCTGCCACCGCAGGCAGGGGTCTCTATGTTTCCCGTCAATCTCAAGGGGTTATTTGGGGAAAAACATATCAGAACTGTGGTGAAACTCCACCAAAACTAATGTTCTTAACCTCTTCTGGGTGAAAATCTCTACTACCGTGGCAGGCTTGGACGAGCGCTCTGCCGGGATGGCCTTCGAGGCTCTGCGAGAGAAGAAACCTGAGGTGCCCGAGATCTCGGATTCAGGCGCAGAAGCCGTGCCGGCTGCAGAGTCCGGGACAAAGACTGTGAAATCCGAGAAGCCACCCTCTGAGAAACCATCCGAAAAGCCACCAGCATCTACTGAGAAACCGGCCAAGAGGAAGCGAACCAGTTGAATTGTGAAATGGAGGAGGGTGATTTCCCACAGTTTCAGACGACACTAATTCGATTGAGCGCTGAGATCACGGGATCTGAGGGGATGAAAAACATTCGGCCTGTGCTGCGCAATTTTTCTTTTTGATGTGCCTACAAATAAACAACAACACAGTCCTGTATTGTCTGGAAATCAACGGTTCAACGCGTGAATTTAATGGAAGATTTGGTCAGCCTCCCAGGAAGAGGCGGAGGAAGCGGAGCTGACGGAGGATGAGCTCCAGGTGGGCCTCGGTGAAGGGGTAGCTGGGTAGCCATTTTCCGGAGAGTCAACCAAGGAGCTAGTAAGATTTAGTAAGAGTTTATCAACCACATGATAGTAGATAATACATAATATATATAGATAATTATATAATTAATGGGATATCATGGGATATAGTTGGGATATAATGGAATATAATGTCAAATTGATGTGACATTTGGGTCTGTCTGAAAATGGGTGTACCGCCAAACCAGATGCTATTTGACTAGGGAAAAGATTTAGGGGTAGCCGGTAGCCTGTTTTCAGAGAAACCCAAGATGGTTCGGAAAATGAGAGACCCTGGAAATAGTGAGGTAAACATCATCCAGAACATCCTTGCAAAACTCTTGTAGCCTTTTGCGGAACCCTAGTGTATAGATGGCTATGGGTCAAACTGTCAGCAATCATGGGTTGAACATAGAAGTCAATAGGATCGTAATTATGGTGATCCACCAAAATGGATCAAAATGGTGTTTTTTAATAATGAAGTACTGGGTATGGGTCGGGCAGTGGTAAACCTGTTAAACCCAGTGGGTCAGAGTTTGAAGTCCAGTCACCACAAGATGGACTGGTCATTGCCCGGATGGCGCGCCATTTTTTGTTTGAGGGGGATCTGAGTTTGGCACATTCTCAAACCCACTGAGCGCAACTGGCTGACCTGCTTAAGTACTTCTGACTGAGCTATTTCGCAGTCGAAGTTTTCAAGTGCAGAGGTTGGATCCCTACTTGTGAGTTGAACTTGGCCACACTTGATCAGGTTGGTTTCAACGTGTTTCAACTATTTCTATTTTCAATCATAATGCAGGATGATCATCCCCAATGAGGAACAGTTTTTTTTTGGCTCAGTTCGAATGCGACCAAGTCCTGGCCGTCAGGACAATGTCTTGGACCTGAAGTGCAAGCAATGCAGTCGACTTCTTTCCCAGCGAGGAATGCGTGGGACACCTAGCTGAGCATCGTCCTGACAACACAGAGGGAATAGCAGTGGAGACAAACACGGAGACAAAGTCCCCGAAAATTGATCTGAACTTTGTGATGTCTAAACTGCTGGTCCCTTCTAGAATCATCTAGACTCTAAATGCTAACATCCCCAGATTCAAACGGTGAGTTCCAAAAGATGTGACGTGGAACTGAGGCGTCCGATTGGTGTCTGATGCTTCGATCTCCCTCTTTTCGACAGATTTTCGGCCAGATGTGCAAGAGGCGAATTCAGCTGCAGGAGGGTCAGGAGGGTTGAAGTGGATTGGAGGAAAATTACACAGATCGAGGTTGGCCAGGTGGCTATCGTCAATAGATTCATCCAAGGGGTATGCGCATGCAGAAACAGGGAATGAGATCAAGAGAGGCGCGTGTGTTTGAGCCTGTAAAAGTTGGGACTGGCATCATCCTCTCTTTACAGCAACATTTTGTATTCATGTTAGTTTTTGACGCCTAGCTTGATTGGTCCCTTCACATGGATCTGAAACAGTCGTACAAATCATCAACTGACTAAAGGGATCATCCCATGATGCCAGATGATCCTGGCCATGAACCTTAGAGGTCAGCGAGAACACCATACCGCTTTTGGAGGTCAAACCACACAGTACTTGTAGCTGTGGTGAAAGCCCCAGCCATAAATGGGATGCGGCACTGCGGCATTTGTCAAATTCCAACGGTCTATCAGAAGTCTATCATCCTTTTATCAATGGAGGTACTGTACCATATAAGGCCATATTTTGCTGGGATATTCCTTTTAAAGGCATTGAGGCTACTTTCCTCCCTGCCCTGAGTAGGTCGCGGAACAACGAGAGCATGGACTCTGCCGCTGCTGTGTGCGGGACAGCCTCAATCTTGCAGGGTTTCCAATATTAAAACAATGGTGATATGCAACCAATACATACCAATACTAGTGTTTTTTTTTCCTTCGGAGTTGGCCATATGACCAATATTTCGGGTACAGTATATATAATTATCATATCACTAGTCAGGAATTTCATCCGTAAAATGTGAGGAAACTTGTAGGAACAGGTGGCAGATATGGAGTGAGATCACATTTTTTCCGTGTCCTGCAGTTTTTTTCCCCTCCGTGGCCTTTCCGATATGCAGGATGTGCGTTGTGCTTGCGGCTGCACAGTTGGCTATCATGTGATCGTGCCCTGTGCGTCTGCGGCTCAATGGGCGATGGTATGAGACGAAATCAGGTGATGTTTGAAGGGTCAAAATCGGAGGCACTTGCGGTACAGATGGCAGACCATCAGCGTCAGATCAGTGTCGGGAGGTTTCTCAAGTTTGGGGTTTCTTTAAAGATTTTTTTGGCTACTTGGGGGTCTTCTTTTGCTGTTTCTTTCGGGATGATCGGGATGGTCTGGATGGTTTGCTGTGTACCACCCCGATCCGACCCACACCCCATAGCCGCAATAGCCATGGTATATCCAAAACTGACTCCTGCGCCTGAACTTTTTGCTTTCCCTGTGTTCAATTCGACCATGAAACGCGTGATCTGTGGTGCCTGGTTAGGGATGGCCATGATCCAAATGAAGACCCAGTAAGGGGCCGACACCTCGGGGGTGCCACATCGATGTGTTTTGGGCTGAGGGGATGTGCCTCTTCTAGACCAACCCTCAGTGCCTCAAGCGTGTTGTTCGCAAGAACTGCTGCGTTGCTTTGCCAAATGTCCAGCGTTCTCGACGCCTCAAACTTTAAGTCTTCGACTGTACACAGCATCTTGACGCTATTTTCACAGCAGAACTGCAGCACTGGGACAAGCCAAAAACCTTCACCAGGCAAACATATTCAAAATATGCCCAAACGTTGTAACGAGTCGACGAGTCGGTAACATCGGTTTTTTGAGCAGAACGAGCTGCCCTTCAACCTGAGCCATGGTGGGAGCAGTCGGGGCTCGCCCAAGCAACTCACTGACCGATTTGCTTCTAAGCATCGAGCATCTTGGCAGAGACGCGAAAGTAGCTAGAGGTTGTTTCCAGAGAGACGTGAGCTGCAATGAATCAATGACAGTGATGTCTTCCCCTTGGACCTGCTTCCTTCATCTTCCTTCCACTGTATTCCTGATGATTCATTGGATGATTCAACTGATGATTCAACTGATGATCAAGGGTCATCCAAGGCTTTTCGCCCTTCTTTTTACTTGGCTCCGTGAGTGGCCAAACGCCAAGGGACGTCATGTTTCTCGGTCTGGAATGTGCGCAACGATATGATTGGCACTTCGTTGTAGGGTCTCTCTGAAAATTGGCACAAAATCCAACGGATCATGGATGTTCCTCATTTTCCCCATTAAAATACCTTGTAAAATGCTTCAAAATGGCCATATCGTGGGCTTGAATCATAGAAATTGGTGATAAAATCCCACATTTTGGAGAAACTCCTGGTGAGTTTTAAGTAATGCTCACCTGCAGGAACTCTTTGTGTCGTACGGCTTGAATCTGCTTGGAGCGGCAAGCTGGTGCGCTGCAGGTGGATCTGCCACCTCGGCGACCAAGAGTATGGGGATAGAATCTGATATAGCCTGAAAATATACCCTCTGGTAAATAAACATAGACCCTGAAAATCACCTATTTTTAATGGAAACTAGTCTTCCAACCCCGATGACTGCCAGGGTCTATGTTTATTTACCAGAGGGTAGTATGATAATGTATGATAATGTATGATAATGTATGATAATGTATGATACAGTATACATCATGGTTGAGTATCTAATTTGACTGATCTGTCACTTAAGATTAGAAGAACCAGAATGGGAATCCTTCTCAACCGGTATAGAGGGATGCAACCAAGAGTATACTGAACACTGCTCACCTTTCGTCACTGGAAGTTGGCTCAAGAGCTTTCAGGTATCAAACAAAACTGGTTGGTGAATGGCTGGTAGCTGCGTATGTTGGAAATTCCAATGTTGCTGGATGTTGGAAATTCCATGAAATTCCTGCCATAGTATCATAGCTGCCCGATGAGAAAAAACAACTGCAGACAGTGAAGGATTTCGCTTCTGAGCCATGGCTCAGTTCCCATCCTTGACCAAATTGTCGCGACGCCACTTGGCAAGAAAAATCCAGATGCTGTTGCCAGGTATTCTGGGACTAAATGAAAAATGTACATGTTTTAGCATGGGTTATACTAGCCACTATCTTGGGGATTATCAGAATCCATTAGGGGAAATCCTTGCTACTCACCACCAATAAAGGGACGACATTTCGGGTTTTGAACATGCTCATGTTAGACAATTTGCAATCGCAGAAATTTTCAGAGGTCAGAACCACAGTTGCAATCGCCTGCCTCCCAGGTGTGCCATCAGATAACGACGACAGGGTACCCTGGAGACGTGATGTGAGAGTTGAGCATGGCCTGAGCATGGCTCCTGTTTTTTTTCTTGAGCGCCCCATGAATTCCGTGGTTGAGAACCTCATATTGCTCATGAAAGCGCCATTTTATGGGTGCAGGTCTTATTTTCAGACACACCGAGATGTTTTCACAGTGACATTTGATGTAAGCTTCCTACGGCCCAGATTCTACGTTTGTCTTCAGCCAAAGGGGAGCTGCTACAACAGGCGGTTGGGAGCTTAGCCAAAGCTTGAAGACTTCTTCAATCTGAGGCGTTTCCGCGAGCTTTTTTCTTTATCAGTTTCTGAACTTTTGCAGTTGCTGTTTCATGGTACCAAGGATGCAGATACTCTGAAAAGTGGATTGGGGATGGCTGCTTCCAAGCTGGGTGGCAGTGGCGGTGTTTTCAAAGTTCGAGCCTCAGTTGGCAACTCCGATCTCGGCACAGCGACATGTCTCCTCTCTGCTTCTCAGCTTGTTGATGCGAACATCATGAGAGAGCTACCAGGGTATAGGCCATGGCTCCAAATAGGTCCAAATAGGTCCAAAGGTCAAGATTTCAGACTCATGCCATGCCATGAACATCCAGGAGCTATCCAACTTTCACCCACCTTTAGGCCATTCGCTTGATGCCGCGGATCATGATGTTCGCCTTTTGGCAGCAGCTTCTCAGCGGCACTGAAGGAACTTGCTGGGGATGATGTGAGTAGAACACTTCAGCATTTTTTTTGGAAGATTATTTTTTCATTTTTTTCCATTTTTTTTTTCAGGTTCTATGCCTACTTCTCCGGAGATCCTTTCAATGCCTATGTGAATTCCAACATCTCGTGCCCGCGGCCGAAGCCCCCTTGTCCAGTGGGGTCACATTGGGTCAGGTCCTGAGATTCACACAGGCAGTGCCCTGCAACTGGAGCTTCAACCTTTGGCCAACCAAAACTGGGATATCTCCAACCAAAACTAGGTATGCAACCGTCATTGAGCAACACACAGTTGGATACATCAACAGAAACAACGAAAATCTTGGGACGTCTCCCGAATTTCATCCCCAAGACATCCACCATTTGCTGTTTCACAGTTGCACCATGTTGCACCATTGTCTTGGCACTTATATTAACTTATAAGGCCTGTAGGCTTGGAGGAAAAGCCTCCGACCCTCCTGGGGCCACGCAGATTGGTCCTGACAGCTTCAAGAACGCCTCGACTATTCCGGCCAGCTTCAATGAGTTGGATGCGCCCATCTCGCATGAAGGTGCCCTGCTACTGTACCAAGGGTTATCCTCGGGGATAAATCTGGAGTAAACTAGCTCAATTTAATGCCTTTTAATATATTTCGATGGGAGAGTCACGAGAATTCAGATAAACTCAGATAAACCACATGGCTGGCTGGGAAATAGCCATGTTGCCAGTGTTTCATGGGAAAATCTTCGATCTGAGGGCTCAAATCCTGCATCTGAATCCATGGCTGCCGGACATTTTCATGAGAGGGGTTAGGCCAGTTTCACAAGCTATACTGAAATGGCACTTGAAATGGTACAAACCCACCTTCCTATTTTTTTCCTCAAATTACAAATCCATTGTCAGGTGTTTTCGCTCTTTAGCCAATTTACTGTTGCTTGATACCAGCATTATCAGCATTCTTGTTGATAATTCCACCCCATGATTGTTGGTTCACACGCCACTTGATGGAATAAGTTTATTATACATATAGATTATCAGTTCTCGTTGGTTATAATTATACTTACTTGTAAATGAATATATATATAGATTGTATATATGTGACATATGTGAAATTATAACGCATAGAGATGGTATTTTTCGATCACTGGAGATCCCCTTGTTTCTTTGTGCATCGACCGCCAGGTATCTGTATGCCCAACGATCGCTTCGATGACGCCTGGAGCTTATCTGCCAAGTGCATGGAGAAGGATGTGGTGCTTGGAAAGACCACCCGCATCTTGGCTGCTGGATATCAATGGGATATGGGATCGATTCATGGGCTATGAATGGGATCTATTCATCGATTTTTTTGAATGAGATATTGGCATTGGTTACGAATAGGGATATAATAATGGAAATTTATAGGGATATAATATAATATATATATATATATACGTATATATATATAATGAGGATCTATAACCAACAATGTGTGATATGAGATGGTGAATACCGATAGCTGCTAGGTGCTTTCACATACTTTCAGCCATATTATATTAAAAAAAGGATGGTGAAGAGCTTACTTTTCAGGTTGAGACGATGTTGAAACCACCACGTAGCCCATGGAATCGACCAGGCATCAACGGCCTCAACGGTTGGATCGCGGCTTTCTTCGGTCTCTTCGCCGTCTTTGTGGCCGGGCAGCTCATCGACACCACCGGGCGCCGGCCAGTGCTGATCGCCTTCCTGTCGTCGAACATCGTGGTGAAGGCCCTGCTCTTTGTCTCTTGTTTCGTGCCCTACAACGTCTTTGTGGTGCCTTGGACATCTGCCCCTGATTTATGGCCATTTTTGTGGAGGATGATTATGGGAAAATTGAGATTAAGCTTCAAATTTGGAGGTAACCTTCTTTCAGAGCTATGGAGAGAATTGCCAGATGGGATTGAGCTATCTGGAAAGGGTAAAAAAGAGGCAGCGATGTTGATGACATATTCTGCAATGACCAAACGCGGACCTATACAACCTAGGGTGTACCAAAACCACTGTAAGAACCTATTAGCAATGTTATTAACAATGATACGATCGACCGGATATAGGGCTTTCTAGGAGACATTTGCTCGGCGTGAACGAGGTATTTCTGTTCCTGCAGAATGTCATCGAGGTGGCCTTTGCAGCTGGTGTTGAACCTGCATTGAATTCCATGATCGCAGATCGCTCGCGTGGCAACGAAGATATTCGTGGTGATGGATTTGCTGCGTTGGGAGTCATCATGCATCTCTCAGACACTTCACGAACAGCTAAAGGATTGATACAGAATGAAACCCTCAGCATTTAAGTCCAGATAGTCCAGATGTGTGTTTCACAGTTTCACTATGTTTCACTATGTTTCACTATGTTTCACTATGTTTCACTATGTTTCACTATGTTTCACTACCCAAACGAAGCTAGTTTTGAACTCAGGATGTTCTGGCTTTTCTAGCTGGCTATCCAGTCTTACGTCTACATCTCACCGATTACTCCATTTTCTGGGGCCCTTTGACTCTGGTGCCTGGGCACACTTCAGCCATGGTTGTTTTTTGTGTTTGCGGATGGGAGTTGCGTGGGGAATTCTTATCTCCTGGACGAGTATTCTTTTCCAATGCATCTCCACTTCCCACCACTTTCAGCATTTTTATCTAAACACTTTTGTACTGTAGGTAAACATAGCATGGAGTACCCATTGCAACTCATTGCAGCTCATTGTAACCCCAACACTACCTCATGATCATGTGGCAGAACCCTTGATGTTAAGGTGAGCATCATTGCATACATCGTCTTCAATTTCGTGCCTTGCTCTGCTCTCAGCGAGACGCTTCCTCAAAGCGACCCGGAGCTGGCTGAAGAGGCAGGGGCCAAAAAAGGTTGTGCAAGATGTGGGTATGCGTTTGTCCCCAAAACAGACCAACATGGCCGTTTTCAACTGGGAAACCCATGAGAAACCAAAAGACTTTTGAGAATCCCATTCTCAGACAAACGCAGAAGGGTCAAAGGAGGTGACCCCCTGAAAATTGGATACTTGGTCGCTTCATTTGAGGTCCCAACAGGAATGCCCACACAGTTGTAAGTTGGTTTATGATCCGATTGAACTATAGATACATCCTCATAGATCATAGTTAGCCTAGTTTCAATCAAACTTACCTATCTTGGGGACGAACAAACCTCGAATCAGAAACTTCCCGCGAATCAGCAACAAAGAATCAGAAACTAAAACCCGCGAATCAGAAACTAAAATCCGCGAATCAGAAACCAAAAACACCGCAAATCAGAAACTAAAATACAGGAATCAGATACAAAACCCCACGAATCAGAAACTGAGAATCAGAAACTAAAAATTGCGAATCAGACACCAAGATCCGCGAATCAGAAACCAAACAAGCCCACGAATCAGAAGCCAAAAAAGGCGAATCACAAATCAAATCTGCCACCCTCTCTGAACATTTTTGTTGAGTGAGATATTACCGCAAACTTATCCTCATAAGGGATCAAACCCGCCACTAACAGGTTTTAGTTTCCGATTAACGGGTTTTGGTTTCTGCTTCACGGGTTTTTGTTTCCGATCAACGGGTTTTAGTTTCTGACTTGGGGACCCCTTCCTAAGGGACAAGTGAATATTTAACATTGACCCCCCTTACTATTTGTGGTGCGACGAAGGATGAGACGGACGATGAAGAGCCTGCAGGAAGCAAGGCAATGCCGAACATCTCCTGTGGGTGAATCAGTGCTTTCCATCCTGGGGATGATTGTATTTGACCAGCATTTGACCAGCATCTGACCCGCATTTGACCGGGATTGGTCGAACACATTTGAACATCACAGAAAGGATGGAAATGATTGACCTGAAAGCTGGTTTCTCCCGATGAATGACCGGAAATGTGAATGGATGAAGTTCCATATTAGTTTGGTATTTACAGCATTTTTCAGCTCTCTGTGACAGACGAAGATTGGCAGGTCAAGCAATGCTTCAGCATATTGTGTTCAGAGACCATTGCTGGCTTCAAGATGGTCTGGGCAGATCCTTTCTTGATGCAATTTCTGGCTCCGACCTTGGGACGTTGAGAGGAAAAGTTCTTGGTCGTAGTATGTACTCACCTGACGAGGTGGGGTGTTTATCTTCGGTGCTTTCTGAGGTCATTTGGGCTATCACAACGATGGCCATGACCGGATCTTGGAACCTCTCAACCCAATACCTGCTGGGCTTGGGTTATGAGCAGGCCAGGATCTGGCCTGCACTGAAGATCTGAATGCCTTGCTCTATTGGAAGGGATCTTACAGATCTGATCTGCGAACAGGTCGTTCAAGACAAGTTCCTTTAGGATTGCGTTCAAGTCCATGTATCAGTTGACCTATTTCCAGCTCCGAAGACCATGGATCAAGATGGACCAAGCAGGGTTCCTATGATCATTCTTTTTGTATTCTGATTTCTTCCGGACATCAGCCATTCATATGGAGCTACCATCGAAAATGATCCCCAGTTACTATAGGCGAAGATAGCCTAGCTTGCAAACATTTGGGTTATAGGTATATACTTTCCTTGAAGGTTGTGTTGGGGGCATGTCCCAATTTACCATCCCCCAAATGAGTCTATCATTAAGGTACACATAATATAGTGCTTAGATGCCCATAGCTGAAAAGGATGATAATCTGATTACCCCAGAGGGCCGAACGGGGATGATCCTCCAAGTAGTTAGGAAGACTCCTCAGTGGATCAATACCTTGGTATGTACTACTGTATAGTGAACACACTGGAAATCGACAAAAATTGGGATGTGAATAACAAATCAATCTTTGGGCCCAGACCAAGAAATCAGTCAGAACAACGGAGCTATTTAACATATAAGTGGCACATACAGACAGCTAGGATTTGCTGATATGCTGGTTGAAATTCTGGCCTTTTTGCTGCACCGAAATTTTAGTGGATTTGTCATTCTGCCCCAAATCCCTTGCTTCATCGTCATGTTCCACAAATTTGTGTCGGCTCAAAATTTTGGCCTCCCATTTTTTTTGGGTCCGCTGGTGCCCCGTTTGAGTTGCCATACCCGAATGAATCCACTTCTTAATCAACATATTCCCTAATATAGATATATATCTATTATCTATGTATAGGATTATGTATTACATACGTGTGTATATATATATAATGTACATAGATATAATATACATGGCTTTATATGGCTTTATTTTGGGCCATGCCCCATTCAACAACATCACCGTTTGTTCAGGCGAACGCCTCATTAGCTCGCCCCGCCTGGCATCTGGCTCTGGTCTGCGGGGCCGCCATGAGTCCTTGTGTCATCAGGCGGTGGTATGGGAAGGGAGACCTCCCTGGGATATTTAGGGATTTAACATGATGAAACCGTCAAAAATGGGGACTTGAACATCAGAAATGGGGACTGAACCATTGTAAATGAGGATTTGCATAGCAATCTAATGTGATTTACCAAGTACAGGCTCCGCTCCCCTATCAATTTTGCCCAAATAGGCATCTAGAATGGACAGGTCCAATACACAACCACAACCAGGGCTTTGGGACTGAATTTCTTCTTGTCGGCATCAGGGGATTAGACATTCATTTTATCAGGGTACATCAGTTTTGACCTATTGATTTCATCTATATGGGAATGGGTCAAAACCTACTACTATCATATTTGGGGGAATACTTGTAACCATCCATTAACCAGCCATTCTAGGGTACCGGTGCCAGCTTTGACTCATAGCCATAGCCACATCATCTATATCATCTATACGTAGATGTTTTTCCCCAACAGCAAAACTTTGCTATGGGGTCTTTAAATCAGATTAGCTCCGGTGCGATCCGGTGCAGCTTCAACACCAGGTTCCGGACAAGGTTCCGGAGGGTTCTGTGCAGATACCTCGTGAGGTTCTGGAGGGTCCAGTGCAGATACTTTTATGCAATAAAAAATTAAGCGCTTGTGCCATAAAAATTAAGTGCTTATGCCATTAAAAAAAACATCGGAACCCTTTGGAATTTCACAAAGCATCTGCACCAGAACCCGGAACCTCACAAGGTATTTGCACCAGAACCCTCCGGAACCTCACCAAGCATCTTCTCCGCCAAAACCCTCCCAAACCTCAGAAGGCCTCTGCACCGGAACCTTCCGGAACCTCACAAGGTATCTGCACCAGAACCCTCCGGAACCTCACCAAGCATCTTCTCCGCCAAAACCCTCCCAAACCTCAGAAGACCTCTGCACCGGAACCTTCCGGAACCTCACAAGGTATCTGCCCCGGAGCCTCACCACGCATCTTCACCTAGACCCTCATCAGGTAGCTGCACCGGAAACTTCCGGAACCTTAAGGAGGCATCTGCACCGGAACCCTCCGGAAGCTTACGGCACTTTTTTTGGCAAAAACGCAGAAGCTTTCAAGCTGTTGGGGATAGCACCTGAGTTTATTTTGAACAAAAGGGATGATGTTTTATCATGAGGCACTTGGGACAGGCTGAAGTTCCACTGGTCCCTGGTTTTCCATGTGGAGGGATGGGTCAATTTTTGGGAGATGACCGCCCACAACAACCATCTATTTTGATGTTTACCAACATATTTTATCACAACCCGTCGCCTTCCTCAGGCATTTGAATGCGACCGGTGCATATAACCTCGCCCTTCTGATGATGGCGGTTGGTTTTTTCTGGTGTGGCTCAGGAGGTCATGATCTGCAGCATGCGAGCCTCTTCTTTTGTGTTTCTTGTTGAAACGGAGGACTTGAAAGGAAAAAACTATTGACAACCTCAGCGTTTGATGGTAAAAAAATAGGTTCCCTGTAAATGTGTTTGTTTCTTTGTATCAGCACAAATTCAAACCACCGAAAGGGAATCAAAGAGTTTCATTCTTCCTGTCAGATTGGATGTGAAACCTCAAAGTGGGATATTTTGGGTCCGTGTGTCCCCTCCTAAAATTGGGGACCTTGCGGTTTCTTGCCGCTAGCCAAGAACCAAACCCGCCTCTGGGTCTGTCCAAAATCCAATGATGTGTCATCATTATCTCCCTATTGAAATGGCCATATATTGGAGTCAAATCCACCATTTGTGGACAAACCCATGTATCCCCATGATTTCTGGTTGATACCCAATGATTCTGCGGCATCCTCCATTTTCAGATGCCCATTTCTTCACCTCTCGGATGAAGAAAAGTCTGCTGCCTAAGGTAGGCACCGTGGTCTTTGGAGGCATCGGGGTCGGCATTTTGACGCCCAGTTTCAATGCCGTAATCAGCATCCGGGTGAGCGATAAGGACGAGGGGAAGTGAAAACGTCGGGCGAGGGCTGCGCGTTGCGAACTGGTTGGATGGAAACCCTTTGAACCGAAGATTCTGTTCGGGATATGACAACATGTCGTTTGCTTGGTGGCAGTCTTGGGAATGTGAACAGCAGGGTAGCAGAGTGAAGTGACCCAAAATCAGTCATTCAGTCACATTGACAAAGGTCACGCTCAGATGGCTAAGGGTCCCATTTGAACCCACATGACCATCGCAGCCAGCTCACTGATTACAGGAGCAAGGCAAGCTGTTTTCACTGGTTTGGGGACTCAGCTTATGACAGTGCCAAACCGGAACCTTGATATGATCTATTTCCTTCGCTTCTTCCCCGCATGTTTTTGCAAGACGCAGGGCTCACAGTCATTTCAACCGTTTAAAACTTCGAACCGCTTTTGAACAAAGGGAAGTACCAAGGTCACACCAAGATCGAACCTCTGTGGCACTGAGGTGATTGTTTTGAACACGATTTGCGGCTTAGCTTTTGGACAGTTCTGGCCGCAGTTGTTTTATAAACCTGAAGCCGCTGATTGGATGAAGGGTTTGCCTTGGATCGCTTCGGCCATGGTCTTCCTCCTTCTCTTCATCTGGATCAGTCTCTTGGTTTCCTTCTGCAACAACGCAGCTCAGAAGCCCGAGAGCGATTGTGGGGAGGACTGCGCAGGATTTATATATCACCAGCTGCAGGATGAAAGCTCAGTTTTGAGTTTTGAGGAACTAGTCATCACTAGTCTCTGCGAGATCCGAGATTGCCATCATTGAACTCGATCTTTGTTGGTGAACTTTACATTTTTTGTTGCTTGAGTACCCAAGTTGTTCTGCAGATGCCATGGACAGCACCAGGACAGCAGCACTGATGAAGATGCTGCAGAGTGAATTATATCAGTGACTCTCTGGGCCGGGTGGACAAAGATCCACAGAACTATGATAGGTGTCTTTCGGTATCTTGTTTTGGCGATGTTCAAAGGCAACATGCCAACAAGTTTAGGATGGGTCAAAACCTACGTATGAGTTTCCAGAAGGAAATGGGGATAAATCGAAGATGGACATCCCTAAATACCAGCTGCCTTGGTGTCCGAAACCACAGCACCAGGGTCTTGACTCACAACCCAAATAGTTTCTGCCAATGTTTTTGTAATGGACTCTGGTACAGAAAAAGAAGGTGCGCCTTTTTTTGGAGATGGGTGTAGGCTACAATGGATGTTTGGTACCAATGAAAATGGATGTTTGGTACCAATGCCCATGCTTCACACTCAGCAAAGGCAAACTGAACTGCACACTCACCAGCCTTGGATAATCACAAATGCTGTCTGTATTGTTACTGTGTCTGCGCCAGGGGTTTACATTCACACTTGGGAACCACTACCACAGGAGCTTCGGTGTTGGTTTAGATTGATAGATTCATAGATGTCTTTGCAGTGACCTGAGTCATGCTTGCCGTGACGAACCGCCACTGGCTGCGACTGAAGGGCCTCATTTGCATGCAGGAGGCAACCATTTCGTGGCAAATCTTCTTGAATTTGGGTGCAACGACCCCATGGCTCTTTCCACTGGTCGGCTGCCGAGTGAGATATCCTGTGGTGGGTGCCAAAAAACCTGATCCGACCTGGACCTGTTGTTTTGGCAGTAGGTCTGGAGTTGCTTGTTGCTTGAATTTTCAGCCAGTGGTTTGGCTTGGTATTTTGGGACGAGCGACACTTTGAACTATCATGGTTTCCTAAAAAATGGGGGTACCGCCAAATCATCCAAGTCATGATAGAGACCAAAAATTGGTATTGAAACCCATGTTTTTTACAAATCCCCTACCCATTTCTCGGAACTTGTCAGACCCTTCAGGTCATCCGTGATAGCTTTTACCGAGCTGACATGAGCCTGAGTTTGGCCAGGAAGCAGGACGAATGCGTCCCAAAGGGCGCACAATCATTTGGTTGAAAGTATGTGATAAGATTGGATATGTTTTTTCCGCATGTTTTTTTTCCACATTATTCTTCATGTGAAAGCCTGCCTGGGATGATGATTGAAAGTTACCCAGCCTGTTTCTTGGGATACTCAGTTGGCACACATATCCAATACCTCAGGACATCACAGTAGCATGCTTGGCACTCCTCTATGCTATGCTGGTCTCAAGCAGCTTTGATTTTGCGATGGGACAGCTCCTTGTCCTTTGGGGGACAGTGTTACTGTTTTTTTTTGATTTTGAATGGATGTATATAAAACTGTAGTTGCTTGTTTCATAGATCCTGCATGTCCAATTTCCATCCCTGGATGTTTAGGAATGTCAAACCTCAATCCACCAGTCCTACTTGGATGAACTGAGGTCCCTGGAACCAGTTCCTGTTACACCTTGGCATTTTCTTGATGGAAGCAGCTATGTTCCTCGGACTGCACGCTGGCGGATTTATTTCTGACACACCCAGATGGGTTGCCATCAAACAAAGTTGTCAAAACAATTTGTGCAAATCACCACTGAAGGCCTATAACCACAGACTTTTGTCATTTTTAGGCCAAAGGATTCCATTGTGTGATAACATCAGTTCGGCCTTTGATCAATGCATTGCCGAGGGTGGTCAACCCTTTGGAGTGGACTTTGACTTGCTATCTGTGATGCCATCTGGCAGAACTGATTCGCAATTCGTGTCTTGGCACTATTGCGACCGATTCTTAGCATGAACAGGTTTAATTATTTCCCTGCTTCAATCTATCATTTAGATTTACCTTCTTGCCTCACACACACACACACACATCACACAATCCTTTGTGCAACATCATCTGATGTACCTGGCAGCTTCAGTCAAACTAGGTACTGCTTTGGGCCATCGGCACGCGGTTTTTGCTCTGCCTTTTCTGATTTTTTCCGCTTGCGGCTGCTGCAGGTTCTGAGCATCGTCTTCATGGCTTCCAACTTCCTCAGTGGTGTCCTTTGTGTGAAAGCATGCTACAAGAACAAGGCACGGTCGGATGTCAGATGCTTTGTCGGAGTTGACGGGTACCTTAAGACGGAGGACCACCAAAGATGATCTCAGATGGGGATCCAAAGTGACATGGGGATATCAGCCAGCCCCTGGGCTCCAGGATGCAGATGGACTGGAGCAACGGGCAGCTCGTGGGGGCCTCAGCATGTGGGAAATTCAATGGTGTTTTTTTCAGATTTTCTAGATCATTAACCATCATTAGCCATCATTAACCATCATTAACTATCATTAACCATCATTAACCATCATTAACCATCATTAACTATCATTAGCCATCATTAACCATCATTAACTATCATTAACCATCATTAACCATCATTAACCATCATTAACTATCATTAACTATCATGAATCACTATTAATCACCATTCTTCCACGATTTTCCAAAACACATCAAAACACCTTCCAAGATCTTTCCAACCAGCTCCAGGTTTCACATGTTTCGCCGAGGCCGCCTCACCGCTGGCGTTCTTTCCATGTTGGCAAACTGCCACCTGCTGGCGGTGTTGGTGGCTGGCCGCACCTCGGCTGTAGTATACTTCATGGAGAATTCAGGGACGATCAAAAGTGTGCGATGGAAAATGGGCCAGAGAAATAGATGATTTACCTCATTACCAATGGGTACATGGTGAAATAAGGAGGAAATAGTGGGACAATGGCTATCAATGGGCTATCGATATCTGATATAGGTGATTCACATTGCACCATTGTGAAAAAGTCACAAACGAATGGCATATGCATATGTATACATGTATATATGTATACGTGTATATATGTATATATGTATATGTATATATGTATATATGTATATGTATATATGTATGTATATGTATACGTTATATGTATATATGTATATATGTATATATATATGTATATATGTATATATGTATATATGTATGTATGTGTATATGTATATATATATGTATTTATGTATACATGTATATATGTATACGTGTATATATGTATATATGTATATATGTATATATGTATATATGTGTATATGTATATATGTATATATGTATATATGTATATATGTATATATGTATATATGTATATATGTATTTATGTATATATGTATATATGTATATATGATCCTCCTTACCATTTCCACTACTAAAAGGGTGAACACGTGCTTGGTACCATCCTCTGATTCGTGGATAATTCAAGCAAAAAAAATGGACCCGTGCACCAGTTTTTGTAGTAAAAGGGTGCGCACTGTATCTTGTAGCGGCGTTCCATTTTACACTCATAAATCGGAAACGCATTTTGTAGTGATTTATTTTGGGATGCGTTGTGTCGTGCCGGAAACCCTATAGCCCTCTTTTACCAGTCATGCTCGGTCACATGAACATATAGCTTGGACCCTCAGACCATTTTTGGCTCTTGACTCACGATTATTTCGTGGTAAGATGAGCCCCCAAAAATTCGAAAAAAAAAACAAACAAGGTAGAGACTTTAAGACGGAAAAATGGGACAAACTTGGTTTCAAAACCCATCAATTGAATTTGAAATTGTGCGCTTAGATCGTTTTTGCTGCCCCATAGCTCTGACGATTGCAGTTCAAAACCTCTGCGCCGTGCTTTTGTCACACCTTTTTTGGCCACCACATGCGATTATTAATTAAAATCGAAATCTATCCCATTCTACTAGGTTCCTGCTCTTTTTGTCCAATAGTCAAGTTTCACCCCAGTTCAACGAATCCATGCTCAGAGTTCCTTTCACCCACAATGTCACAAAGCACAGATTCGATGCGTGATGTCCTAGTTTCTGGATGACTTGTGTCATGCACTGCATTTTGTAGTGACACACGCGTGCACAACCTTTTGTAGAACCTTCTGCGCCCCCCTCCAGATAAGCCCCAAAAAGTTCGAAAAGCATGCTTTTTATGTAGAGACTTTAAGAAGGAAAAATGGGACAGATTTGGTTTCAAAACCAATCAATTGAAACTGAAGTTGTGCGCTCAGATTGTTTTTGCTGCCCCATAGCTCTGACGATTGCAGTTCAAAACCTCTGCGCCGTGCTTTTGTCACACCTTTTTTGGCCATCACATGCGATTATTAATTAAAATCTAAATCTATCCCATTCTACTAGGTTCCTGCTCTTTTTGTCCAATAGTCAAGTTTCACCCAAGTTCAACGAATCCATGCTCAGAGTTCCTTTCACCCACAATGTCACAAAGCACAGATTCAATACGTGATGTCCTAGTTTCTGGATGACTTTTGTCACGCACTGCATTTTGTAGTGACACACGCGTGCACAACCTTTTGTAGAACCTACTGCGCCCCCCTCCAGATAAGCCCCAAAAAGTTCGAAAAACATGCTTTTTATATAGAGACTTTTAAGGAGGAAAAATGAGACAGATTTGGTTCAAAACCGATCAATTGAATTTGAAATTGTGCGCTTAGATCGTTTTTGCTGCCCCATAGCTCTGACGATTGCAGTTCAAAACCTCTGCGCCGTGCTTTTGTCACACCTTTTTTGGCCATCACATGCGATTATTAATTAAAATCTAAATCTATCCCATTCTACTAGGTTCCTGCTCTTTTTGTCCAATAGTCAAGTTTCACCCCAGTTCAACGAATCCATGCTCAGAGTTCCTTTCACCCACAATGTCACAAAGCACAGATTCGATGCGTGATGTCCTAGTTTCTGGATGACTTGTGTCATGCACTGCATTTTGTAGTGACACACGCGTGCACAACCTTTTGTAGAACCTACTGCGCCCCCCTCCAGATAAGCCCCAAAAAGTTCGAACTTTAAGAAGGAAAAATGGGACAGATTTGGTTTCAAAACCAATCAATTGAAACTGAAGTTGTGCGCTCAGATCGTTTTTGCTGCCCCATAGCATTTCCCCTAGTAAATGCTATGACCCATTTAGTAGCGAATCATTATTTTCATTGCAACCCGTTTTCACTACAAAATGGTTCCGTAAAGTCATTTTGTAGTGACCGACATTGGCTTTTGATCCATCATAAAAACACCCAAACCATTTTGTAGCAAGGGGGGTTGGTTCAGATTCAAGCTTCATTTTGTACTACAAGGCTGTGTTTGTAAACGGTTTAGTGGGCACAACTTCTCTGCAGAATGCACACAGGGATTATATATGTATATATGTATATATGTATATATGTATATATATGTATATATATGTATATATGTATATATATATGTATATATGTATATATGTATATATGTATATATGTATATATGTACATATGTATATATGTATATATGTATATATGTATATATGTGATACATGCAAAGCATGATAACGACATGGAATGACGATGATGTTTAGGCCCAAGGCCTCTCCTTCGCGTTTTCAGGAAGGGGGCAGCACGATGGAGGAACTCACCTTTCTTGCCAGGAAGGTGAGGGCTGACCACGTGCTGGCTCACGCCTTAAAGGCCATGGGGTGGACCACCACCAAGCTGGGAGCTCTCTGGGGATGCGACCAGGAAGTCGTGGACTCGGTCATCCTCAGAGTGGAAGAGAAATACCCGGAGTACAAGGTGAACACGGTCGAGTTCGAAAACCTTGTACAGGCGGCCGAGGAGGCCTCATGCATCATTTGGGCTAGGCATGAGGAGTTGAAGGACTCAGACTTGGCCCTAGCGTCTCGCCTGGCAAAACAGGAGGGCAAACTCGCGGACAGGAGAAAGGCCCGTGAGGAACAGATCGGGAGCCAGGTGAGGAGAAAGGGCGAGGCCGCCAGGGTGAAATGGCCCACAAGAGCCACGATGCTGAAATCGGCGGCTGGCAGTGATCTCTATCAGCGTAATCTGGTAGAGGATGCGGAGAGGAATCGGTGGCTGAAGGAGCTGGCCAAGCAGATCAAGGAGGCTGACACCTGTGATGTCTCCGACGCCAATCAGGGGCTCTTTGCAGCCAGGATTGGTAAGGGGAGACGTGCCAATACTCTTAGAAAGCACGTCAAGACCTGGGGCCAGTTCATCGGGTGGCTGTTGGCTACGTATGGGGTCAAGTGGCCAGAGAGGCCCTTTCAGTTTGCGGATTACCTTATCTCCAGGGCTCTGGAACCATGTGGGCGCTCGATCCCAGTGAATGCTTACAAGACACTGGTGTTCATGGAGCACGCGGCAGAGATTCCAAAGGACCTCCAGTTGAACACCTCGGGCGCAATCAAGAATGCCATGGAAGAGGTTAAGCTCCGTCTGGAAGCAGCGGATCAGAAGCCAAGAAAGCAAGCCGCTCAGCTGTTGGTCGCCATGGTGTCCGCTTTGGAGAGAAAAGTTATGGAGCGGGGCGCACCGCACTTCACCAGGGCTTTCGCTTGGTACAAGCTGGTTAAGGTCTGGGGCGCAATGAGGTTTCACGACACCACTGGGGTCGACTTTGGATCCATGAGATTGGACGGTTTTGCCCTTGTGGCGGATCTGACTCGCACCAAGACAAGCGGGCCAGGAAAGAGGATTTCGGTGCTGAAGCTCATCGTCAGTGCGGAGGCCTACATCGAGGAGCGCGATTGGATGGAGACCGGATGGCGGATCTGGGAAGCGCTCTCAGAGGAGGCTGGTTGCAGGGAGAGGGACTTCCTGCTGACGTTGCCTACGACGGGATTGGAGCACTCCTCAAGGAGGATGGCCACATATCCCGCCGCCAGTGGGATGAGCCAGGCCCTGTTCCAAGAGCTCCTGTGTCCTTGCACAGGAGGGTGGGAGCATCTCATGGAGATTGGCGTGGGATGCATTTGGTCGGAACACTCGGAAAGAGTGACAATGAGAACATGGGCAGGAGCAGCCGGTGTGCCTGAGGCCGTCTGCAAGATGTTGGGACGCTGGACACCCTCTGTGGACCAGTCGTATGATAGGTCAATTGCGGCGCAGGTAGTGCGTGCGCAAATACACGTGGCGGAGTTCATCAGAAAGAACATCGGCCGCGTGGACCCCTTTGGAGAAAACGTGGTTTTGCAGCTGGTGGAGGACAGGATGTTAGCCCTGGGCTATCATATGAGGGTGGTTGGAGTCCAGAGGGAAAAGCTGGAGTGCTTCGTGACCGTGGGAAAACCATTGAAACGAGTCAATTGGTCAGAGGACGCGGCCATGCCACAGGGGTCCCATGGCAACGAAGCGTCCGAGTCGTCTGCCGACGAGGACGAGGATTGGGTTGTGATTGATGCTGCCACCAAGAAGAACACGGGCCTAGTTTTGGGAGACTATGTGGTGAGCATCATCGGCAGGGCCAAGACGAAGACCCTGCACAGGTACGGTGAGTGTTATCGACAGCCTGGAGTACATTACCGGGTGTTTGAGTCCTTTGGGAGTGAGTTGCCAAAGGCGAAGATGTACCATAGAGCCTGCCGGGTATGCTTCCCGAAAGCCGTGAAGAGCGCGGACGAGTCAGGGAGCGACGGCTCTGGATCCGACGAGGAAATCTCCTCCAGCTCGTCGGAGTCACTCTAACAGGAGTTGGCAGCAAAATGAGAAAGGGGTGGTCGGTTTGTGCTGGACTTGACGTACCACTCCGTGTTTGCAGTTTTGATGTTTTGCATGTTTTATTATTTCATGCACGCAGCCGTTTTGCTCCTCAAGCGGTGGTCTGGTGGGCGAGATGAACGCACCCCCGCCAGACTTTACAGATGCTGAAGTCCAGAAGGAATTCATCGGCCTTCTGGAGCCGGACTTTCATGGCTTACTGCAGAGGAAGGAGGTCTCTGCAGTGACTCAGGCTAGATTGGCATACGCCAACTGTAAGAGCCTGAGCCGGTTCAACTCAGTTGCGGATAGCAGGGTGCAGCTGAGGACCTTTGCGCAACAGACAGTGCAGCTGGATCCGGCTGCCGACGTGATGGAGGTGGCGGCATTGGTTGACGCTTGGGAGGCAGCCAAGGTCAGAATGGAAGTGAGGCATAAGGCTGAGGCAGAGGCGTCCAGCTCCTCTCTGCCTATCTCACTTCCAAAGGTGGAGGTTCAAGACTTGGTCAAGAAGTTTGAAGCAGCCTTTTACAAGTTGGATGACAAGTTGACTCCAGCGGCATCAACACTGGAGTTGCTGTTTGACCAAGTGGAGAACGGTGAGCTGAAGACCATGTATCTCCAGCAGTTCTTGTCCAGGGAGGACGCAGAGGTGGAACCTGTGGGATGCATGCTGGACAAGTCAGGTGTACTCAAGATCAAGAAGGGCTACGGAGAGACCAAGGAGCCCACCTCTCCGGAGGAACTGCGCCACCGTCTTAGGGTGGTGGCACACGCCTTCTTGATGTGTGGGCTGAAGTATCCACAGCGGACCATCTTTGCCGACTTGGTGCCGCAGGACTTCCTCAACTACGTGGACTACCTGCTCAGCGACCAGGTTATGGGTCTCAAAGCAGAGGATGAGGACGGCAACCAGATAAGCTCACCGAGCCTGAAGCTGGTGCTGTCCTACGAGCATCAGGTGCGCAAGGAGATGGTCAAGAAGATCAATGATGGGACCAAAGTCCACGACGCCCTGCTGGCAGCCAGAAAGGACGTCAACATCAAGGAGCGCTACTTCCTGACCCCTGCAGCCATGAACGCGCTGACGGCTCACAAGAAGGATCGTTCTCGATCTCCTAGGGCAGACAGGCGTTCCGGCGACAAGGGCTGGAATCCCAGCCGCAACAAGGGGAAAGGAAAAGGAAAGAAGGGGAGAGAAAATCTACACACGCACACACCCGATGGGAGGCAGATATGCTTCCGCTGGAATTCCATGAAGGAGAGATGCCGCTTCAAGTGCGGGCGGGTACATGTGTGCCAAAGGTGCCTCTCTTCGGAGCATCCACTCCACATGTGCAAGCAGACCAAGAAGGACACGGCCGGAGAGCAAGAGGGCGCCTCCGGCGCCAAGTGACGGCGCCTTGAGCCGGGGCATGGCCCTGCCCCGGTGGAGAAGGGCACCGCAGGGGCCACTCGTGTTTTCAAAATTCTGTACTTGTTTTCAGGAAAGAGTCGAGAGACATCTTTCGCAGGGATGGTGCAGAAGATCGCGCAGAAGCATGGGTTGCGGGTCCAGGTCACGGAGGTCGACATCATGAATGACAGCAAGCACGACCTCGCGAAGCAAGCAGTGAAAGCTGGCTGGATGCAACAAATCCAGTCAGGAATTTATGATGTGGTGCTGGTCACTCCTCCTTGCTCCACCTTCACCAGAGCAAGGTGCGCCAACAAGCGGGGGCCGCCCCCAATTAGGTCCAAGCAGCACCCAAAAGGGTTTCCCTGGCTGAGGGAGGAGTTGAGAAAACAAGCCGAGTTGGGGAATCGGCTCGTGGAAGTCATGGAGGAGTGCTACAGAGCTGCAGCACAAGCCAAACAGTTGGTCCGGAAGCTCGTCCTGCTCTTCTCAGAGCACCCGGAAGATCTGGGGCGAGTGTACAGGGAAGAGGACAATTTGCAACTCGACCCTGCTTCGATTTGGCAGTCGGAAAGTGTGCGAAGCTTGCTGCAGTTAGATTTAGGCCTGTTTACCGCGGGTTTCAATCAATGTTGTTTTGGGGCCCCCTATAAGAAACCCACTCGCATCATTTCTAACATTCCTGGGTTGCAGTCTTGGGGGTATTCAGGTTGGCCTCAGTTTGATGAAGCCAATGCTTATTTGGGGCCCATTCGGTCTTGCGGCTGCCAAACTAGAATCACTCTTGCTAAAAGAAGCAACTCAGAATCGTTTAGAACAACAGGCACATCGGCTTACCCTGCTCAGATGGATGAATCTCTGGCTCAAGCAGTGGTGCTGGCTCTGAAATCTATGCTGTCTTCTCCTTCGGAAGGGGGCCGGCAAGAAAGCATAGATGGTAGCAAGAGGGGACCTGAAGCGAAAATGGCTTCAGGGCGGGACCCAGGGGTGGTGGAAAACCCTGGGAAGAAAGCCAAAACGGCGGGTAAGGACTCAGGGGTATCAGAAGCCTCTGAGGATAGGGTTTCACTTGATGGCTCAAGGGCAATAAAGGCCCCTGAGGATGCAGTTTCACATAAGGCTGGGAGCTCGGGGGTTTTGGTAACCCTCGAGGAATCGGTTTCACGAGAGGTTTCAAGCTCAGGTGCAGGTCGGGCACCTGAGGTATCGGAGAAGGTTCTTCCCAAGGACGGAGGGCCGGGGAAGGAGTCAACCGGGGAGCTAGGGACGGTTGACATGGATTGGATGGGGAGACGTCCTTTGCTCGCCTATTACAAGGGGAAGCACAGGATGGTGCATGATGGAGGGGGATTGTGCTCCCCCGGGAGGTGGCCAGTGAAGTGTCGGAAGGCACCAGCAGGCGAAACAGCACTGGCGATAAGCTCGGTATTTCGGAGGGAATTCTTGAAATGGCTGCTGACTACAGGGGACGGTGGCAAAGGCGTCTTCTGGAAGCTTGCAGGGGGTCGAGCGGTGGAATCTCCTTTCAAGAGTCATTTGGGGGGAGCGAGAGCGGCCATTGATAGGGAGTTGATGAAGCACGGGGAGGACCCAGCGCGTAGAGGTGGGGATAGGACCTCTGAGATCAACTTCAGGAGGCTCAGAAGCATCGGCAGGGCACTAGGTGATGAGGATTGCGAGTTCCTGGAGGAAATCGCGGCAGACGGTGTCTCGCTGGGGGTCGACGAGGAGATGCCTCGAGTGCCCGGCGTTTTCGAGGAGAAGCTCAAATGGGCGCGAGAGTTTACAGAGGAAGACCTGAGACAGGTCTGGGCGGAAAATTACTCCTCAGCAGAGGAGTGCAAAGAAGATATTTGGAGGCAGGTGGATGAGGAGGTCGCCTCCGGGACAATAATGAGGTTGTCAGAAGAGGAGGCGAAAGAAAAGTTTGGGGAGCGGCTGGCGGTGGCCGCGCTTGGAGCTGTGCCCAAGGAGCTCAACTCGGACAGGGTTAGGCTGATACATGACGGCTCATACTCCGTCGATGTGAACCGGAGGATCAAAGTGCGTGACCGGATGCGGTTTCCGCTGATCGACGACGCGTCGGCCGTGCTGCTGGAAGCTGAAGAAGTTGCGGGAAAAGGAATGGGGGGCCCCAGGGCGACGTTGGTATACGACGTTAAAGGGGCCCACAAGTTGATACCAGTCAAGGAGAAAGACTGGGGATTGCAAGCCTTCAGGCTGCCTGGAGAGAGAAGAAAAGACGGGGTCTATGTGCACACCAGAGGTACGTTTGGGATCGCCTCGGCAGCCTACCACTGGCAAAGGGTGGCCGCGGTAGCAGTGAGGTCCGCTCACCGGCTCTGCGGAAGAGATCTGGGGCTTTTGCACCTCCTCTTCGCGGACGATGGGTGGATGGTTAGCGTGGGGAAATATTATTGGAAGCCCATGCTCTTCTGGTTGTTCGTGCTGGAGATGATGGAGATACCTTTGAGCTGGGCAAAGGTAAATGGTGGCACGAAGGTGCAATGGATCGGTTATGATTTGGACGCGGACCGATTCGAAAAGGGTATCTCCCCGAGGAAGGTGAAATGGGTGGCGGATTGGATCACCACCCATCTGGAGTCGGGGGGAGTGATGGGGAGAAATCTGAGATCAGCGCTAGGCAGGCTGGTCTTTGTGGCGGGTGCGCTGCATCACGTCAGGCCATTCCTTGGGCCGATATTCGCGTGGTCAGCCGTGCTCAGGGGCGGTGTGTACGCGAAGATGCCTGAGGCGGTTAGTCTCCTCCTCACCTATGTCAAGAAGCAGATAGAAGGAGATCCCATGGTCAAGGTGAGAGCAGTGGAAAGACAGGCCATAGAGGCTTTCCGAATCGACGCCAAGGCTGAGGGAGAAAAGGTGGTCATCGGTGGCTGGGAGTCGCTTGGAAGCTCCGACACCTCCGAGGCGAGGTGGTTTTCCATAGAGTTGGACAGAAGGTCGGCACCTTGGGCCTTCGTGAAGGGCGAGCCGTTTAGAGCTATTGCTGCACTGGAGCTCACCGCGGTGTTGGTGGCCGTCAAGCTGTTTTGCGTAGGCGGGTTATGGAAGGGCAGGCGTGCGATCCTGAAACTGACCGCCTTCACGGACAATGTTTCCAACACCTACGTCCTGAAGAAGTTCCTGACCTCCAAATTCCCTTTGTCAGTAATTCTTCTGGAATTAGCAACCCAGCTGAAGTCAGCTGGGCTGGAATTGGATCTGGGATGGGTGCCCAGGGATCAAAACACCCCGGCGGACAGCCTGACGAATGGTATCTTCGACGGTTTCTCAGGGTCGAAGAGGATCCAGGTCGACTTCAAGGACCTCAAGTGGCTAGTGTTGGACGAGCCCATGGCCAAAGCCGGAGAACTGGACTCCGAGGTCAAGCTCGCCAAAACCTCGAAAGAGGTAAAAGACTTTAGCGGAAAAGACACTAAAGTCAAAAGAGGTGAGACAAAGTGGAAAGACCCGTGGTAAGAAGTGGACTCCGAAGGAGACACGTGAAGCTAGCGTCTAAAGTGGGGGAATGGCGCTAGCAACTCACGTGACAAGATGTCATGTGAGATTTACGAACGACTGGTATCTGCGCAACCCCGAAAAGGATTGTTGCACTGAGAAGAGGAATGCAGTGTCGTGATACATGCAAAGCATGATAACGACATGGAATGACGATGATGTTTAGGCCCAAGGTCTCTCCTTCGCGTTTTCACCCACCATCCAACCCCTATCACCTCCGGGGAATGGCGCTAGCAACTCACGTGACAAGATGTCATGTGAGATTTACGAACGACTGGTATCTGCGCAACCCCGAAAAGGATTGTTGCACTGAGAAGAGGAATGCAGTGTCGTATATATGTATATATGTATATATGTATATATGTATATATGTATATATGTATATATATGTATATATATATGTATGTATGTAACTATGCAAGTATGTATGTTTATATGTATACATGTAAACATGATTGTATGTATATATGTATATATATATGTATATATATATGTATGTATGTAACTATGTAAGTATGTATGTTTATATGTATACATGTAAACATGATTATATGTATATATGTATATATATATATATACATATATATATGTAAATATATGTGTATACTTATGTTTGGGGAATCTGGAATCCCACCTTTTATTCTCCAAACCTTTTCCTCCGTTCCCAGGATTTGCATCATCCACCGTGGCGTTGGAAACTCAGCCCCCCTGGAGTCAGTGTCACCGGTGTCACTGTGTAGACCGAGGCTTGACATTTTCCATATTGCCCAAGGTGCAGCAGCGCAGCAGTTGTACAGATTTGCTGGTAATGATAAATGTAATTATTGTAATGATGCGGAGATGTCGTTCCAGTCCATGTTGGAGATGTTGTCATTTCTTTCGATGTCATTCCCTCTTTTAGGAAATTTGTCATGTTGTCGGCAAGGAATCAGCATGGGGGTCCACAGATATCCACAGATAACCACAGATTGGTGCAGGAATCATCATTTGGGTCGCTTTCGTCCAGCTTCGAATGATCCTTCGTGAGGGACACGTTACCGTTGCACATGCTGTGAAAGTCGAATGAGCTGCGACCTGCACAGATGTGTCAGTGAGCTGAGCCATGTTCATGTTGATTTGTCCCAAAACATCAAATACCGAACCCCGATGTTCTAACGGTTTTATTTAATGGAAAATATTCTGCTAATAAATGGAATGGGTTCCAATATTTTGGGACAGCCCCACGTTGGTTCTTTTGTGCTGTCACAGCAGACTCAGGCTGTGCAGGGTGATGGGTGTGAATGACCTGACTTGTTAAGCAGGAGACTCCATCCAATCATCCCTACAGTCCGTTTTGAAATTCATTTTGCGACGAAGCCAGAGACCGATCGAGAGCCCCTAAAGAGGCGTGTGACATCCTGTGATGTTCAAAAGACACCCTCTGGTAATCTAACAGTTTGCTATAGAAAACCACCATTCCTTTTGTAAAAAACATCTACAAACTTGCCATTTTCCATACTAGTAGCTATGTTGGATTATCGGAGGGCACTTTTCCTGCCGTGGTCTCGATGCTTGAAGTCAATTTTGCGCTGTACCATTTGGACCTATGGAGTATTGCGGGTGAACTGCACCCAGCAGAAAAGACCGGGACCAGGGCCGTTGCTCTCACAATGGCTGCACCTGATTTGGAGGTTGCAACGCCGAGAAGTCCTAGTATAGTATACAATTGATACTTGTTTGAGTGTTTCTGGAGGCCACAACGATCACTACTGGCTTTTCGACCAGGGAAACGTGCAGGTGGGCATCCTGGGATTTAAGCCCCCCTGCAGGCCCCAAAGGCCAGTCCGTAGCCAGGCCACCGATCGTCAAACAGCCGATGGGCTGACCATGCTATGGCCCGATCTCCCTCATGAAGCCCTGGGACATTCACAGGCGAGTCGATGTCACTTGCCGCATTTTTCTTAATGTGTTTCGGAATGGATACATGTATCTATATATGTATCTATATATGTATCTATATATATATCTATATCTATATCTATTATCTATTATCTATTATCTATTATCTATTATCTATTATCTATTATCTATTATCTAATATCTAATATCTAATGTCTGTCTCTATCTCTATCTCTATATATCTATATATGAGCCCGGTCCCCGGACCCCCACACCCCCCCCCCTCCCCCCCAATGGTATCCCCCCCCACTCCTAACCCCCCCACCCCCCCAAAACCTAGTATTTGCATGTTATTTGCACATATACATACACATATACACATATATACTCCCCTTTCCACCCCTCCACCCTCGCATCTCTACGTTATTTGCAGCACTTGAGAGCCACGACCTCGTCAACGGACCTTGTCTACCTGTATATTTCTATCATAACCTTTTTTTCGAACCGCCTATAGCGTGCCTCGCACATGGTTTACAACATATTTGCTACCTATGGATTACGCAAAGCTTACCTATGCAAACCTAGACATATGTACAGTAGAAAAACAATATATATATATATATGCACATTCTAGATACTACATATTGATATCTTGATCTTGTATCTATCACATATTTCGTTTACATTGTACATACTGTACACGTATATATATATATATATATATGCATATATATATACACATAAACTCTAGATATACAGCGTGTATTGCTGTCGATATTCAACATACCACATATACTATGTAAAATTTATTCAACGAACATATTTACCTATATTGTATATATTACATCTACTGTGGATACAGTACATGTGGCATATACTATCTATATTCTATCAAAATCCACATATTCGATATATATATATATATATATGTGTTCAATATATATATATATATGTCAAATATATATATATATATTACACACATATATATATTGCATATATTCTATTTATATCTTACATATTATATATATATGTTTATATATATATATACACCACACATACACTCTATATTACATATAGCATATCCATTCTAATTATCGATACATATGCACTATATGCACTATATGCACTATAAAGACTACATACACCATGATTTCTATGTATACTCACCAGTGCTGCTCACGCAGTACCTTGGACATTGCTGGCACACTCCTTGCACTGAGCTATATATTTTGCGTATATCGGCTTGGCTGCTGAGAAAACCCCCCCTCCCCTGCCACAGGCGGGGGGGAACCATCTGGCTGGGGGAGAGGGGGGGTGTGGGGGTCCCTGCTCATATATATAGTCAACTTGAATATTCACCTCTTGCTTTTTCGAAGCTGTGCAGCTGCTTTGGGTTGTCGAGTTGTAGAAGTATGGCTCAGGCTGACAAAGAGGCAGTCGTGGAGCCCACGGAGATGGAGTCAGAAGCGTCAGCGACTTGGGGAGGATGGCTTGACGGTGATCCCAAACCACTTTCATTGGAGGTTGATTCAAACCACCAACATCCACCAAGCAGTTTTGTTCTCTTGCTGTTCTTTGAGTTTTGGAAACTCTTCAATAGGTGCTGCCCCATTTGCCTGATCCTCAGCAGAAACTGTTGAGTATCGTTGAGTCACTGGAGAAACGGTTTGGGCTGTGAGGACTCATGCACTGCAAACTCAAATGCAATAGCATCATGTGGAACCGGTAGCGAAAAACATGTTATCTGTTTGTGCGAACAAGAAAGAGAGATCCCTTCGTTCTTGCTCTTAGGGTCTCTCGCTGTCTCCAACTTCGGATGGTGTTTCGAATCCGAAACTTCCAAAAAACACTGAGCTTCAAGAGACTCAAGTGGGCATGAGTCAAAAGCGAAGGCCCTACCGTAGATTCTACTGTAGGACATAGATTTTTATCTATTTTTGGCAGTAAAGTGTACATTTTGGGTATGGCTGCTGTCCCAAATAGAAACAACAACCATGTTGTTTAAGCTACCATCCTCAAGTGCCCACTTGGATTGATCACCCCAGGCCACGAAGGAATTTCTGAGCCAGTCGCACCGCCTTGCGGTCATGCTGCTTGCCAACATTGCCTCACCCTCGGATGTTTCCCATCCCCTAGATATTAAATTCTCCCTGTATGGGCTCCAACATGAATAATCCAATCCAAAGCCGAGCTCTTTCAGTGAGTTTTTTTTTTGGAAGGCAAAATTAATTCGGCTTCAGGTAGGAAACCAGATGACTGAGCGGAAGGCCAATGAGCATTTACATTCAGGGTGATAATCCCAATCGCTAGAGTGTTCTAATCTGGAAAAACTTGGGTGCAAACTCGATCAAACCGGCAGTAGCTTGGATTGTGATCTCAGCAAATGGGGCCATTTGTCTAAAGTGGCCCTTGGGATAGTTGCCCCACTTCTTGGTGATTGTTGGCCTTTTGGTTTGAATCACTACAGGCTACCTTTGCTTATTGAGGCCTCACAAGGGCTGTCGACCTGCGAAGGGAATGCCTCAGCCTTAAGAAGAGCCCTAAATAGCTTGGTCTGACAATACCCCAACAATCTAGTCACGTATCATCATTTTCCTCGTTGAACTATGTTGAAATGGCAAATTTTGGGATTGCCACACTTCTGGACAAACCCAAATTATGGGATCGGGAAATGAAAACGACCAGCCCATAATCTTTCTCCAGGCACTCACCAGACTTTTTTGGGCGTGGCTCGAATCATCAACCCAATACCATATGGATTAATGCTAAGTAGACAATTTAGCACATCATGGCTTAACTTCTCGATTTTACATATTTCAAACATTGAAATGGATGGTTTAAGAAGTTCAATAAATCTGCCCAGCCATTTTGTGGCTCCAGTGGTGCCTCACTCCACGCAACAGCCTCAGGCCCTTACTGTCGCATGGCGACCACATGCGCAGAATTGACGACATGGTTTGGGCCCAAGAGGAGAACCATCCAGCGGAAGGTTTGGGCAAATGCTTGGTGGTTTCGTTTCACATATTTTGGGGCCCTAAATCATCCAACATTATACACGTTTAGTATTGAAACCCCATGGTTTTGGGATACACCCATTTTAGGAAACCTCCATTTAGTCAAGTTTTTGTTTAAATACCATCTGAGCTGCGGGCATTCTTTGGGTGTGTCTTCTGGCTGAAACGCTGAAGATGTGTGCTTCACCCCTTTCAGTGCAGGCCAGTTCATCAGTTGAAGAAGGCAAAGCACAGGGCAACAAGTCCGCCTGCTGCGAAAAGTGCGACTGGCACCCCTTGGAAGCTGGTGCCGAGAGCGGTGGCTCAGATCAAAGTAACATGCGACGGTTCTCTCAAAATAGGGTGCAGTATCACTAAATCCACTACTTTGTCATCATTTTCCGTATTAAAGTATTCATTTGGAAGATAGATCACCAAATTTCAGACACGCCCCATGTAGACTTGGGAGCATTGAAAGTTGGACCAAGTTGTACACGTTGTCTGCCCGCTTCTTCCCTTCAGGCTCAAGGCATAACACTTCAATGAACACTGCGGGAAGTTGCATTAAGTACATTTTCTTGTTGCCAGATGCCAGAGCATGTTGGGCCTTGAATGCCACACTGGACTCAACAAAAACCATCGGGAAGTTGGGGGGCTAAGCATGGAATGTGAACCTCATTTGCCGGGCTGATGACCAAAACAGCTTGAAACGCTTGGTACCTGACACATAGATGCTGTGAAGAGAAATCACTTCTCAACAGATGGTAGCTGAAGAGGCATGCTGGGAGCCCCAGGTTACATTGTATTTCAGTGGTTTGGGTGGATGGGTAAAACTTGGGTGCCCGAAGACAAATCGGATGCTTGAATCTTAAGAATCCACCCAAAAATGTCCCAGTTTTTGCGCAAATTTCTCAGAGTTGACGTTAGCAGTTTTTTCCATGTTTTTTTTCCATGTTCCTCAGGAAACCTAACCGCTGAGGTTGCTTTGGACAGCCCTTGGAGTTGCCCATTGACGAGCCGCTTTGGCCCATCCGAGAGGACCAGAAACCCAAGGCCTGGGCAGGTGAATCCATGCTTTCATCAAGGATGACATGCACACTGCGCCACAGTCACTGATTTCTTTTTGCGACTTTTGAGGGGAGTTTGCAAATCTTGAGTTGCAAATCTTTCAGTGTAGTCCCTTGTTTGATATTTATTTCCTTTCTGTGGACTTCCTAATTTGGGAACCGCTCTGCGAGCCTTGCGGAGTCAAATCATCCAAATTTCCTGCGAAGGGTGTAGTATGGTCTTCAAACATGTTGGAACATCGTTTTGACTATGGCTCTTCATGGTTGTCATAGCTGGTACACGGATAGGATATCTACCCCCCATTGCAACCCACAGTAAATTGTGAATTATAAACCCTTACAAGCCTCATAACTGTCGTTTAACTGGTATGTCAACACAACATGATGTCATAGCTCTAACGGACTCTCAACCTGCGTGCAGCGATGCAGGTTGTGTCCTCTGTGGATGAGTTCCTTGAGATCGTGCAAATGCAGACGCATTTGGATCGAGTCGTGGCAGTCCACTGAGTCCACGGCCAGCTCCGACAGGGCCAAGCTTTTTGCATGGTTCAAGAAGTTCAATACTAAGCTTACTATATATATATATATAAACAAAGTGGACTTACCAATATGTCCTGGGAATTTTGGTGACCTTTATGTGATTTTATGCGATATCTGATTGATATCCATGATTAATTAGACAATTCCCCATTCCCATTTCAGGTGAAAACAACCATGTCATGTTGCCTCTCGTTCCCCTGTGACTCCTGGATCCTCCTGCCTCGAGGTCTTGCGGAATGGCATTGGCTTGCTTCGGCAAGGTGATGCAGCACCAGAGCAGCCTGGAACTGAGAAATGCCGCGCCTTTCACGGTTTTTCATCATGAATCATGACCTCACCATGGTTTAAGGGGGATTCAATCATCAAACATAATATGATGATGTCATGAATCAAACATGGTGATTTAGGATCAATTGATTTTTGGATGTAACCTTACGTAAGCGTCAAAAATTGGGATTTGACCATCCACAACAGTAATGTAATGATCAGAATTATTGTGCGTTAAGCATCAAACATATAGGGACGTGAAAACATTAGTTCTGTTCATTAGCAATCACAGCGATATTTGGTTTTGTCCAAAAATTGCTGATTCTTCAAAGTGATCGGAAGATGACAAACAACTGGAACTTGGGTACTGTACCCTATTTTTGGGCAATCCCATTTTGATCCAGCAACTTGGTTTTTGCTTGTTGCTTGGATTCGGAAACAACCACGGTATAGCCCAAAAACACGAGAAGTAAACCCATGTCTAAAAGGTCCAACGCTAGTAGATCAGTGAACCAGGCATGGTTCAAGAACAACAGCCCCTCATGATGATCAAGAGAACGGATTCAAATTCTTCGGTTGCAGTCCTTGTGTTGTTTAGTCATGAAATATTTGCATGAAATATCGAATTTACAATATGTTTGATGGGTGTCAAAATTCTATTATATCCCTTTTAAATCCCATTAAATCGCCCTCAGGTTATAATGGGACCAGGCACCAACTGGTCTCCCCATGACCCCGCCAGGCTGCGCCAAGCAGCCCAGAGCTCTCGTTCCGTTCGGGACGTCCTCGGCCGGCTGGAGCGCAGCGCCCCGAACTCAGGGATTCCATGGGGAGTCCATGGGGATTTCATGGTTTTTTTGTGGGGTGTTGATGTTTTTTTTGGGGGATGGGACTAGTAAAAATTTACTGGTTTTTGTTTGGTTGTATAGCCATTGTATCAGCATTTTGGATGGTGAAATCATGTTAAATCCATGATATTTACCAATCTTCCAGGTCCTTTTCCTAGGCCTTCCTAGCCAAAGATCCCAAAGATCCCACTGCCCCAAGGCCTCGGCGAGCTTCAGGGTGAGGTTCCCCAGTGACTGGGTGGATATACCAGATTGAGTTACCAAGCATCGGCCAAAAAGGGCCCAAATGTGTGAATCATTACAAGTTGGATATTGCCATTATGAACAGATTGAACATTTCTAAAACATGCTAAAACCCACGAATTATATCTACTGTAAATCTGCTATGGTTGGGAACTAGCAATCCCTGATTTAAGTCAGATATATGGGGATGTAGACTGGGAGACTGATAGATTCGGGTGGATATACAATATGAATATATCCATGTTTTATTTCCCCGAAGAACAAGGTACCCCGAAATGATCCCACGCTTCATCACCTTTTCATTTATCGTCTCGGACAACAATTGCAATAAATTCTGGTACACACACACACTCCCTTTTGCAGACCCATCTTGGGATATGTCACCCCATTGCGAACCATTCAGAATTCAATATTTGCAGCGAACATCTTACAGGCATCCACTAATTCTAATGGTTTGAGCCGAGCATTGTCCCTTTCACCAATGCATTGAGTATCCATCCCCATCCCCTTCCCATCCTCAATGTTTTCATCATATCCGCGTACTATTGCTATGCTCCTATTACAGTAATCCCTTCTCCCCCCTTAAACTTTTAAACAAAGCCGTGGTTCCTTGTTGGATCTCTTCGTGAATTAGGGACCATTTGGGGGTATTTCCTCAATATGATCGGGGAAGGGATCATCAATCGCTATGCTCTCGTACTTTGAGATAGCCATTGAGTTCAAAGGAGCCATGGCTGTCGGATGATTCACCTGAACCATACCTATTAAATCCTATTAACACATATTCAAACATGATCATTTTCCATTTTCCATGGCTGTATGAGATTCCCAGAGGATATGATCTAGCAATGTCGCCGGGCCGTGACGGCCACGACGGCCATGAGGCTCGCCTGTGGCACTACAGCCAGCGTGGCCGAGAAAAGGAGATCAAGGCAGCTGGGATTTAGCGATGAACAAATGGTGATTTTCCATAGCTATGTTTAAAGTACCAGAGGCTAGTCAACAGAACAAATTGATCATTGGGATAATATTGATCACATCATCAATAGGTTGAGAATCTCAATGATAGTCAGCTATCAATTGGTACCAATTGATGCCAATTGTCAATGATTATTGGCGATATGGTCAATAGCTAAGCAATTGGTCACCTATAATATATAGCTGTCAACGTTGCCTATTAATCTACTATAGTAACCATAGATTATATGTCATAATTATGAGTCATGGATAGCCGACCATGGACCATGGACCATTGTAACAGTTGGCCGTTTTTGATTACCCAGTGGTTCGTAGGAAGCGGTTTCAAGCTGCGTTATCCATATGGCAATAAATTTTTTTGGGAGCCACGGAGCCACGAACTGAATTTCCCACAGAATTTGGCATACCTAAGAAGTCATAGATAGCCAACACATGGCCATTTCGTCTCAATTAACAATAGATTATGAAATATTATGAAGAAATATTGTTGTTATTGAATTGATAAAACATTGGGGGACAGTGATTTTCGAAAAGCATGAGATGGCATGGGGTATGCGATTTCCAGAGAAATATGCCTTCATGACCAATATCGTAAAGCCAAGACAAAACCCTACAACATGTTTTACGCGGCGATGGGATGTTTCCAAGTCTAATTTGGCGATTTGCTACAATATGTTCTTGTGTGGTTTGCATTTGGACAGTGCCCAAGCCCTGGCGGTTGATGTGTATAAACGATGTATAGTATATATGTATATGTATATGTATATATATATATATATGTATATATATATATACGTATATATATATTTATACATATATATATATACACACAAATAATGTGATACAAATATATATATATATACATATCCAGCTTGTTTACTTGGCCTTATTGTCACTGTTGGACATCCTGTCAAGCTGAAAGTCATTTGGGCATGACTTGGCCTCGGCAGGTCCCGAAAAGCAAAGTGAAAGGGTCGGAGCTTGACAAGAAGAGCTTGGCCGGCCCCTGAGGGTTGCACAGCTTTAAAAATGGCGGTTTCCTAAGGGGTACCCCAAGTTAGCGGCGATTTTGAATGGGAAAAGCAATGGCGAAGAAGGTGTCCCCCTGTTTTAGGAAACACTGATTGTGGGCATGTGGAAGCATTCTACGCAACCCACTAGCAGTGAGACATCACCGCTTTTGTGGGTGTTTGGTGGGTTGCTCTCACCAATGGCATCCATGCTTTGCTCATCTGGAGCCATGCCTTGCCAAGGCAGCTCTTACTCAACAGCTCCACACACTCGGAACTGCCAAAGTGTCTGTCATGGTCTCAGATATCCTGGCGGCCGGTCTGGGGTCACAGGTCTACACAGAGATAGGGGATGATGGGGGTCTAGATCACACTTAATCTACCAACACCATCCACAAAGCCAATTTTGTGGGGCATAGGAATTTTGCGCCATCCCTTCGAAATTGCAGAGTTGACCCTCCACTACAGCTCATCACACTGGGGTTTGGGACATTTTCTAGACACGCAGTTTCAATAACCCTGGCGTTGGTTGCTGATTATAAGTGGTTAGATTTCCCAAAATATTGGGGACTATTGCACTGCATGATGGGTATCTCCATGAATTATCCAATATTGTGGGGATTTCCTAATAGGTCTTTGACACTGATCATGTCGGCATAACAGAAACAGGAGTATTTGGGAATTAAGCAGCTTATGATTAGGATTCTTGTTGATTAACCAACTAATATATATATATATATGTATATCTAATGCCGATTTGATATATATATATATACACATGCATCGTTCCCTGGTTAAGAATTAACAGTTAAAAGTGATAGATGGACATCAATTATTACTCCCTTAGATTCCCTGAATCGGTTTACGGGAAAATCGAAACCGGACACAACCGTTGCCAGCCGGACGCCGCGCTGTACATTTCCGAGCTTCGCTGGCAGCAGAAGGCGATGTCCGGAGACGAGTGACGAATGGTGCGGTCATGCCACAGATTTGCAGATATCAGTGATGAATGTACCGATATTTTTTTGATAGAATGCGGGATAAATGGAGATATAACAGGATATAACACTGATAATGCTAGCGGCGCTAGCGAACTTGATATGACATTTGGGAGTGTTTGACACTGGGGGATTCAACCCAATACAGTAATCCCTATAGCGGGAACATAATGATTAACCACTAACCATGTGACTTTTTTGGCTACACTATTCTTTTATAGCACACCCAGTTTTTGCTATAGGTGTGGTAACAGACAGATCAGGCATGATTTTGACACTCCCCAATGTATCAAGCGGACTCCATCATCATCACCCAAGTGGGGTTTGACTGAAACATCCCGACAGGTCAGACATCCTTTGAACCCTGAAGAAGAGGTGAAAACCGCTTCCCAGCTGCAAGATGACGAGATCACCAGCGATATATCGCCATGTGGGCTACTTCGTAGCCACTGAGGCTACGAACTGCGACATTTTTGATGTGGCGCCTTTTTCAAAGCGTCCCAGCTCAGATGGGATTTTGGAGGATCTGGGTGCCAAGAAAAATTAAAGATCAGACTGCCTGGAATCCCCAGATTTTTAATGGGGATGTGTGGTTTTGACCTAAAACTATTTCTGGGATGTGAATTTTATAGTGTATAGGTTTAAAATACTTTGGGTAATAGGGAATAACTTAAGTAATTCACGGTAAATGTCTTAGAACTATTGGAACTATTTTACCCTATATAGTTTGAATTGTCCATGAATTACCATAATAATCATATACAAATGATACATAATGATACTATTTTTGTTAAATGGTAGTTCAAACGATCCAACTTCTGGATACTTCTGGGATGTTTGGGCTAGAAGCCCTGCCATCTTCGTGATCTGCAACGAGGCATTTGCCACTCTGGGAACGCTCCGAGGGAGGAATTTTCATCGGCGAGCGTGGGGCCGGATCTGGGCTATCGGCTCAGCTGATGGATCCACCCTGCAGCAATCGTGGCCATGGAATCTTCCAGATTTATAGTTTTTCCCGTTAAAACCTCCATTGAATCCCCTGTCTTTTTTCTCATTCTGGGAAGTTTCTTGCAAGAACTTGTACAGTTCTGAAACCTTCTGAAGCCATGGCCATTAAAGGGGGGGTGCCTGGAAAAAATCTTACATGCTCGTGTGAGCTCCTGAAAGCCGACACGGGTGGGAAGAGAAATACGAGGACTTGGACATGGCCAGTGATGTGGGAAATGACCAAAGCATCCAAGTTCTTGAGGATGATTTTGAGCCAAACCATCCAAATCCCCTCTCAACGATTGATGATGGTTCGAAGCTCTGCTCACTCAAGGTCATGAACTCTTATTCAGCCACATCCGATTTTTGGAAGGATACCTTTCATTTGGATCAGCCGGAGTAGCTGAGGCTTCATGTTGACCAATGCCTGTGGTCCAACGTAGGCGAGACCTCAGCACGCTTGACGTTATGGTACACGGGATTTGCCTGTTGGCCCAGGCCTCTGGATCCCAAACATTGATCAAACACTGAACTCACTGAACACTTCATCAATTTTGATTGATCAAACACCGACCAGGTTCATCAACTTTGAGTCCGAAAAGGTTCTTTTCCACCTTTCACCATCCTTTCCCATCCTTTCCCATCCTTTCCCATCTTTCCTCGACGATCACGGCGAGGCCGCAATTGGTGTGGTTTCAAGCTCTTTGCCATTTGGCCTTGGTCCGAAAGGCATCAAATCCTGGATGATGCGGGCAAAGGCAGGAGATGGCAGGAGCGTTCAGAAGGGTGATGGAACTCAGCCAAAGACCTTGCCCCATCAGGTGCCATTTTTTCTCCCCCGCTGACACCGAAAGAGGCCGCGATCTGAACAAAACCTTTGCAAAGCTACTGACTCACTGCAGCTCAGCATAGGAAGCCTTCCTAAGTCGAGCAAAGACTGCTTGGGCCTGAGGGTCTTCTTTTTTTCATCTTTTTTCAACAAATCTTCAAAAAAGTACTCATTTTCTGGAGATCAGGTCGCACTGGTGGGCCCTGGAGATGTTTGGGTCGTGGTCACAGTAGAGTTTTTGTGGAGCTGGGGACTTGGAGAGTCCAATATTACTAGTCCATTGAGATCGAGGTGTTTTCAGGGGGACAGCCTCATACGGCCATGTGCGTGGGCGATGGAATCAACATCTGTGCCTATGAGTTGGGCCCCTCAGGAGCTACCAATGTTGTATTGAATGACGTCGGGACTTGCTGCGGACGAGGGATTTGGTGGTGTGACTTTGATAAGGCATGCCATTGTGATGTTTGTGTTGACTGGGCTTAGAATTGTTTCGAATTGATATGAGTTGATGCTTTCCGGGAATTGAAGCTAGTGCAGCGTTCGTTTTGCAGATCGAGTGGTGAAGTCCCAGAAGTTGAGAGATGATTTCGAAGCAATTTTTGGCTCAGCCTTGCCTATCCTGCACACCTCAAGCGCGTGAAACTCAGTTTGTGGTGAGCCATGAAGGGCACAATTGATCCCACGATGGGCAAAGAGGTTGCGTCCACCTCACTGGAATTTCCCAGGGTAAGGCGAGTCAAGTCCCACAAATCGTAAGGGGAGGACTCATCAGAGTGACAAAACCCAACAACAAATCATCCCATCAACCATTTGGAGGGTTATTATCCACCTCATTGTTCCTAAGGTAACTCCATATTTTCCATGGCTTGTGTCAGTGAAATTCTTTGAATCCCATGCCAAGTCTCAAACACCTGAGCTGATGCCCAGGTAATCATGGCAGGAACTGATGCTCGGCTGAGTGGATGTCTGCTGTGACGAACATTCGCACAAAATAGGTCATGATACAATAACTGTGGATAGGTTGATCCACCAATGGTTGAATATCTATCAAACTATTTGCCCCAAACGTGCCCACACGAAGGGGTTCTTATGGAAAGTGTTAAACGCCGGGTTTGATTGAGGTTTCACATAGTGGTTTGCGGCGCAGGCTCGCACAAAAGTTCTCTCTGAGATGTTCAATGTTCATTTTGACTGCGCAGGCTCGCACTAGCGGTGCGTCGCACGTTGCTTCATCGGAAGGTATACTTTTACCGGCACCATGTCTGTTTTTGGAGCTAGTTGGCGGGTCGTGTGGGGTTCTCGAGGATGTCTTGAAGGAAGTGTCCTTCAAAATATCCTTGTACAGAGATTAAGTGAATTCTGTTCAAGGAACCGAGTTCTTGTGAAATCCTTTAGAGGATCCTTGTACAGTACAGAGATGGTGTGAGTTCCTTTCAAGGATCCTTGTACAGAGATCTTGCGGGCTCGTTTGGAGGACTTTCGTACAGAGATCTTGTGGGGACCGATTTTTAGCCTCGAAAAAAAAAACACAAAATCTTTATATAGCCCTGAAAAGTTTTTTTTAGCCACGCAAATAGGTTTAGCCACGAACAATGAACACCTTAGCCTTGAAAATATAGAATGGGCTAGCGCCCGGGTGCCGCCGACCCCCCCTATTTGGGGGGTCCTGCAGAGAGAGGGAGAGAGATAGATAGATGGATGGATGGATGGATGGATGGATAGATAGGTAGAGAGATAGAGAGAGAGAGAGATAGACAGATAGATAGATAGACAGTTGGATAGACAGATAAGTAGATGGAGAGATAGATGGATAGATAGCTGGATGGATAGATAGATGGATAGATAGATAGAGAGGGAGAGATAGATAGAGGGGGAGAGAAAGATAGAGAGGGAGAGATAGATAGATAGAGAGGGAGAGATAGATACTCCGACGGCATCCGACGGCATCCGACGGCATCAGCGGTTCAGTGGGTCAGTGGCGCGTCGCTTCCGGCGGGCCGTGCTGAGGTCGATGGTGGTACATGGTGGGACAGACATGGACATATATGTTTTGATATGCCCCGACATGCCGCAATTCAATTTGCCACACAATGTGCAATGTGTATGCAATGAGTATGACGCTACAAATTTGAAGTCAGGCTTGAACCACCATAAAAGGACAATGCCGGCAAACGGCATGGGAGCTGCAGGGAAGCATTTGGGGGGTTTTGCGGGCTGGCAGACGGCAGGCTTGAACCACCATAAAAGGACAATGCCGGGGCTGGCAAACGGCATGGGAGCTGCAGGGAAGCATTTGTGGGGTTTTGCGGGCGGGCAAACGGCAGGCTTGAACCACCATAAAAGGACAATGCCGAGGCTGGCAAACGGCATGGGAGCTGCAGGGAAGCGTTTGGGGGGTTTTGCGGGCTGGCAAACGGCAGGCTTGAACCACCATAAAAGGACAATGCCGGGGCTGGCAAACGGCATGGGAGCTGCAGGGAAGCATTTGGGGGGTTTTGCGGGCAGGCAAACGGCAGGCAAACGGCAGGCTTGAACCACCATAAAAGGACAATGCCGGGGCTGGCAAACGGCATGGGAGCTGCAGGGAAGCATTTGGGGGTTTTGCGGGCTGGCAGACGGCAGGCTTGAACCACCATAAAAGGACAATGCCGGGGCTGGCAAACGGCATGGGAGCTGCAGGGAAGCATTTGGGGGGTTTTGCGGGCTGGCAGACGGCAGGCTTGAACCACCATAAAAGGACAATGCCGAGGCTGGCAAACGGCATGGGAGCTGCAGGGAAGCATTTGGGGGGTTTTGCGGGCTGGCACACGGCGGGCTTGAACCACCATAAAAGGACAATGCCGGGGCTGGCAAACGGCATGGGAGCTGCAGGGAAGCATTTGGGGGGTTTTGCGGGCTGGCAGAGGGCAGGCTTGAACCACCATAAAAGGACAATGCCGGGGCTGGCAAACGGCATGGGAGCTGCAGGGAAGCATTTGGGGGGTTTTGCGGGCTGGCAGAGGGCAGGCTTGAACCACCATAAAAGGACAATGCCGGGGCTGGCAAACGGCATGGGAGCTGCAGGGAAGCATTTGGGGGGTTTTGCGGGCTGGCAAACGGCAGGCTTGAACCACCATAAAAGGACAATGCCGGGGCTGGCAAACGGCATGGGAGCTGCAGGGAAGCATTTGGGGGGTTTTGCGGGCTGGCAGACGGCAGGCTTGAACCACCATAAAAGGACAATGCCGGGGCTGGCAAACGGCATGGGAGCTGCAGGGAAGCATTTGGGGGTTTTGCGGGCTGGCAAACGGCAGGCTTGAACCACCATAAAAGGACAATGCCGGGGCTGGCAAACGGCATGGGAGCTGCAGGGAAGCATTTGGGGAGTTTTGCGGGCGGGCAAACGGCAGGCTTGAACCACCATAAAAGGACAATGCCGGGGCTGGCAAACGGCATGGGAGCTGCAGGGAAGCATTTGGGGGGTTTTGCGGGCTGGCAAACGGCAGGCTTGAACCACCTGCCGGGGCTGGAACCATGGGAGCTGCATAAGCAACGGCAGGCAATGCCTGGGGCATGGGAGCTGCAGGGAAACGGCACGGACATGCTGGCAAAGCTGCAGGGAAGCATTTGGGGGGTTTTGCGGGCTGGCAGACGGCAGGCTTGACCACCATAAAAGGACAATGCCGGGGCTGGCAAACGGCATGGGAGCTGCAGGGAAGCATTTGGGGGGTTTTGCGGGCGGCAAACGGCAGGCTTGAACCACCATAAAAGGACAATGCCGGGGCTGGCAAACGGCATGGGAGCTGCAGGGAAGCATTTGGGGGGTTTTGCGGGCGGGCAAACGGCAGGCTTGAACCACCATAAAAGGACAATGCCGGGGCTGGCAAACGGCATGGGAGCTGCAGGGAAGCATTTGGGGGGTTTTGCGGGCGGGCAAACGGCAGGCTTGAACCACCATAAAAGGACAATGCCGGGGCTGGCAAACGGCATGGGAGCTGCAGGGAAGCATTTGGGGGGTTTTGCGGGCTGGCAAACGGCAGGCTTGAACCACCATAAAAGGACAATGCCGGGGCTGGCAAACGGCATGGGAGCTGCAGGGAAGCATTTGGGGCGTTTGGAAGGCTGCCAAAACGCAGGCTTGAACCACCATAAAAGGACAATGCCGGGGCTGGCAAACGGCAAGCTGCCATGGGCAGGCATGCCAAGGGCAAAGCATTTGGCAGCTGCGTGGGCGGAGGGAAGCATTTGGGCTTTTGCGGGCTGGCAACGGCAGGCTTGAACCACCATAAAAGGACAATGCCGGGGCTGGCAAACGGCATGGGAGCTGCAGGGAAGCATTTGGGGGAGTTTTGCGGGCGGGCAAACGGCAGGCTTGAACCACCATAAAAGGACAATGCCGGGGCTGGCAAACGGCATGGGAGCTGCAGGGAAGCATTTGGGGAGTTTTGCGGGCTGGCAAACGGCAGGCTTGAACCACCATAAAAGGACAATGCCGGGGCTGGCAAACGGCATGGGAGCTGCAGGGAAGCATTTGGGGAGTTTTGCGGGCTGGCAAACGGCAGGCTTGAACCACCATAAAAGGACAATGCCGGGGCTGGCAAACGGCATGGGAGCTGCAGGGAAGCATTTGGGGGGTTTTGCGGGCGGCAAACGGCAGGCTTGAAGCCACCATAAAAGGACAATGCCGGGGCTGGCAAACGGCATGGGAGCTGCAGGGAAGCATTTGGGGGGTTTTGCGGGCTGGCAGACGGCAGGCTTGAACCACCATAAAAGGACAATGCCGGGCTGGCAAACGGCATGGGAGCTGCAGGGAAGCATTTGGGGGGTTTTGCGGGCGGGCAAACGGCAGGCTTGAACCACCATAAAAGGACAATGCCGGGGCTGGCAAACGGCATGGGAGCTGCAGGGAAGCATTTGGGGGGTTTTGCGGGCTGGCAAACGGCAGGCTTGAACCACCATAAAAGGACAATGCCGGGGCTGGCAAACGGCATGGGAGCTGCAGGGAAGCATTTGGGGGGTTTTGCGGGCTGGCAAACGGCAGGCTTGAACCACCAGAAAAGGACAATGCCGGGGCTGGCAAACGGCATGGGAGCTGCAGGGAAGCATTTGGGGGGTTTGGAAGGCTCCAAAACGCAGGCTTGAACCACCATAAAAGGACAATGCCGGGGCTGACAAACGGCATGGGAGCTGCAGGGAAGCATTTGGGGGGTTTTGCGGGCTGGCAAACGGCAGGCTTGAACCACCATAAAAGGACAATGCCGGGGCTGGCAAACGGCATGGGAGCTGCAGGGAAGCATTTGGGGAGTTTTGCGGGCGGGCAAACGGCAGGCTTGAACCACCATAAAAGGACAATGCCGGGCTGGCAAACGGCATGGGAGCTGCAGGGAAGCATTTGGGGAGTTTTGCGGGCGGGCAAACGGCAGGCTTGAACCACCATAAAAGGACAATGCCGGGGCTGGCAAACGGCATGGGAGCTGCAGGGAAGCATTTGGGGGGTTTAGGCTTGAACCATCATAAAAGGACAATGCCGGAGCTGGCAAACGGCATGGGAGCTGCAGGGAAGCATATGGGGGGTTTTGCGGGCTGGCAAACGGCAGGCTTGAACTCCCTGAAAAACAGATGGCAGGGGCATGTAGCTGTAAGAGTTGTTGCCTTGGAGGCCCGCGGAAGCGTTTGGAGGGTTTCAGGCCGGTCAAACGGCAGTCTTGAACTCCCTGAAAAACAGATGGTAGGGGCATGTAGCTGTAAGAGTTGTTGCCTTGGAGGCCTGCGGAAGCGTTTGGAGGGTTTCAGGCCGGTCAAACGGCAGTCTTGAACTCCCTGAAAAACAGATGGCAGGGGCATGTAGCTGTAAGAGTTGTTGCCTTGGAGGCCTGCGGAAGCGTTTGGGGGGGTTGAGGCCGGGCAAACGGCAGTCTTGAACCCCCTGAAAAACAGATGGCAGGGGCATGTAGGTGTAAGAGTTCGGCAGGAGCATGTAGATGGCTGGGGCATGTATAGCTGGCAGAGGTGTTGCCTTGATGGCGTGTGCCTTTGCTTGCGACCCGAGAGCCAAGTTCCACACCTCCGGTGGTCCCAGGCGCCGCCCCTGCCTTGGCAAAGGCCGGGGTCGGCGGATTTTTTTCTTCTTTAACCTTGAAAACAAGACTTCTGTTGTTATAATCCATCTTTTTTTTTTGAAGAACACCAATTTTAAGATGTAAGAATAATTGGATGAAGTGTCCGCAATTTGATGTTTTGTTGGTAGAATTTGAATTCAATTTGATGGTTTTTAGGTACAATTTGATGGAACTCGGTACAATTTGATGGTCTCTCGGTACAATTCGATAGTTTCTCAGAACAATTTGATGGTTTTTAGGTACCAGGTACAATTTGATGGTCTCTCGGTACAATTCGATGGTTTCTCAGAACAATTTGATGGTTTCTCAGAACAATTTGATGGTTTCTCGGTACAATTTGATGGTTTGTTTTATGAGTTAGAATGCATAGGAGAATTACGCAACAGTACGTGGGTAAAGGGCTTACGTGGCTAAGTTTGTTTTCGTGGCTAAGAGAGAAAAAAATCAGGGCTAAAAAATCATGAAATAATTACGTGGCTAAGAAAGCCTGCCAGATCTTGTGCATTGCTATGAAGGACCCTTGTGCAGGGGTCCTGGGAGTTTCTTCAAAGGATCCTTGCACAAAGACGCTGCAAGTTCCTTTGCAAGATGTTTGCGTAGAGATCCTGTGCATTCCTTTAGAGCAGAGGATTCTTTGACAAAGGTCCTGTGAATTCCCTCGAATCCTTGTAGCCAGATCCACTTTCCTTAAGCTCCTGCGGAGATCCTGTGAGTTCCTAACACAGAGATCCTGAAAGTCCCCCCAAGCTAGAGGTCCCAGAATAGGTACTGTGAATGCAGATACCACCAGCCCACAACATACAACTTACAACTTGCTGATTTTTTCGAGCATCCCTGGTTGGGAAAATACCACCAGCTGACAAACATTTTTAGGATTGGCACATGTCCCCCAAGTTGGGGCATACTGAATC